TGTGAAAAATCCACTGCTTGCAAAATAATCACTTGAAAAACATATTCTTACTAATATTTAATCCTTCTGGCATTCTGTGAAGCCTCATATATAGTAAAAAAAAAAAAGTCCTCAATAATCAAATTGAGTAGTTCTGGTTTGGACCAACAATATGATTGTGCTCTGGACAAACAGGACACATCAACTGTCACATAAACACTCTACTACTTCAGCTAACAGAGGCACAAACAAAACTTACCATTAGAGGGATGCTTAATCGTCAGTTTTAAACTTGCCACTGATGTAGGGAACATACTGAAGGATCAGCTTCCAGTCTGTGACCCATATTAAACCAGTACCAGCTACACCACCCCATGTAACGAGGGTGGGAGTCCTAAAGAAGAGACACACACACGTGCAGGTAAACAACATTAATTCTCCACGATGAAAGGCCCAGCAAATGCTCATTGCTAAGGTACTTGGGAAAGCCATTTCAATCAAGAAAAAAGCTTGGCAGAAATCTTGAAAGAATCTCACATAGACAGAAAAGTATTAGTTCCCAGGGTGGTCAAGGTATTTTACAGGAAAAGGCTGATATGCTTTTATTTAGAAAGGACAACACCAAGTTAAGCAAACACACACTTACTTGTTTAACTATTCTACTGCTATAGCTCACATCCTCTTTATTCTGGCCCGCAGGCTACTTCACTCTCCCTCACACACCTGCTGGCGCTGCGACAAACATTTACAGCTCTGAAACTCTGGAGAAAGCCAGAGCAGCCAAATCCGCCTCGGCCACCGCACCGCCGGCTACAGCCCCCTCCCCGCCCTTCACACCTGGGGCCAGCGGACCCCCGAGGGAACACAAGAGCCGCAGAGCAAAGCGGAGGGGGGACGGAAAACGCTCGGGAAGCCGGTCAGGCGCCTCAGGTGAGCGGTGCGGGCCGCGGCCCGTCCCGGCGGCCACGGTGAAGGACGCGGAGCAGGCCGCGAGTCCTTGACCGGGACCGCCCGCGGCCCGCCCCGCGCACCCACGGCCCACCGTGAAGGATCCCCGGGGCGGGGCGGGGCGGACCGAGCCGAGCCGGGCCGGGCCGGGCCGGGCCTTGCCGAGCCTCACCAGTTCTGAAGGAGCTGGACATAGCGCGGCCCCAGCAGCCTGCTTAGCATCCCGCCGCTGCGCCCAAAGTCACCCCCACTGCGCACGCGCGGCCGCGCCGCCGCTCCTCAAAAGCCCCCGCGCGTGCGCGTTGAGCGGGGCTGCCCGCGGCGCTGCCTGACTCAAGCGGCGTTGTCATGGCAACATCCCGCCTCCAGCTCATCGTCCGTCATGGCTGCGGGGCGCGGCGCTGCCCCCGGCCCCGGCTGGGGAGGGGACAGGAGCCCTGAGGGGATGGGCCTGTCCTCGCCCTGAGCTGGCACTGCTGCTCATCCTCCGTGCCCGGGAGAGTCGCCCCTTCCCACAGCGGTTTCCCCAGTGCCCGTCGCTGCCTCTGCAAATCCTCCTCGTCGCTGCCGCTCGGCCTCTCCCAACGGGAGAGGGAGTTCCAAGCCAGATTTCCAAGCCAGATTTTTTCAGCAGAGGGTCCTAAATCCGCCGTCAATTCCATAACGCTCCTCAGGCCCTGCTCCAAGCCAGCTCAGCCTCTTGCGAAGCTGCAGAAAGTCCTGGGGGGACGTCAGAGCCCGAAGGTCTCATCGGCCGGAGACCTGCGGCCGGGCCGCAAACGCTTCCCGCGCTCCCCGTGCAAACTGCAGTAACGGTGGCCAGCAGCCACGCCAGCACCCACCACCTTCCCTCACCCCCTGCGCTGGCTGCCGAGAGCTGAGATTCACAGAGCAGAGCCTGTTGCGAAAATCCAGGTCCTGTGTTTTCTCACCAGCACACGGAACAACTATTTTATCGGTCCTTTGTGCGACTGACTCAACATCACGTTTCATCCTGACGGTTCGAGTGATTCTCTGCCGCGGTGCCAGCGGGGTTACTGAACCGTGCAGACTTTTGGGTTCATTTCTGCAAGCTGTTTCCCCGCTGCCCACGCACCAGCTGGTGCACGAGGAAGCCGGGTGGGAGCTTTGTGGTGTGCATTCCTGTAGGAAACCAGTGCCTCTGCCACAGCCACCATGTTACCGAGGCTATGGGGGGAAGCAAGGCCGGTGAACAAGCTCCGCAGAGGTTTTAATGTCTCCATGGAGTCATGCGCACACTGGAGACTCTCAGCTTTCAGTCTGCACTGAAAGTTTCCTAGATGCCAAAAAAAACCCCCAAACTAATAACAAACGCGAAATAACTCAAAACTTAAAAGGCAATGAAAAGCAGCTCAATGTTTATCTTTCCCAAAAAGCCTCGGGGTTTTGAAGGCAGTTTGAGGAGGGTTGTGTATCCTACTGCTTTACCCCAGTCAAGGCAGACAGAGAAAGATCCAGTAATACTACCAATTTCCTGGTTAAAATAAAACAACGGCAATATTAGCAGCTCATCTTTTCAATATATTTTGCTGTCATCGACAGTTCGAGGACTGTGCACAGGTATTTGCGGTCTGCTCTGGACACCATGCTGCAACACCACGCTTGCTCCTTCCCTGCAGAAAGTCCTTTTAGCTGTTGGGAGAATGTTCACACTGCAGCAGGGACAGCTATACCTTCAAAGCCTGACTCCTGAAGGTGAGGGTCACTTTCTTCTCTCGGTGACTTCTGTGGCAGAGGTGTCATTTTAAATTCAGAAGCAGAAAATAAAGGGCAGTGAGCATGGTTGTCCAGAGCTGCCTTCGGGACACCACAATAAAGCACAAAGCTGTGTTCAACCACTAGAACAAGTGATCTGCATCTCTCAGGCCACCAGAGCAAGTGAGGATGTCTCTGTCGATGCTTTGCATTAACAAAAATCACTCCCTGTTTAAAGCAGTGCGGTGGAGGTTTCTGCTCTGAGAGCAGGCGGCTCTGCGATAGCGTGTCCTTGCTTTAAGGACAGTTCATGGCCATGTCTGGCAGTGCCAACATGACATGACGTTTGCCCACAGGATCTGATTGTCTCATCCCACTCTTTGACCCATCTCCAGTGAGAAAATGCTTCCGACTGTTCGCCCATGGACTTCCAGCTCCACGTCAGTTGGTGGCCACTTCTTGGATCTTGGGCAAACTATTTGGTCTCCTGCATGTTGCTCCTTGCTCCTGCTCTCACCTGATCTCCCAGCCCTGCTCTGGCCGCCGTGTCTTGCCTGCTTTACCAGCTTTGTGCATCTCTGGGTGCCCACCTTGCAAGCTTCAGCCTTGCTCCCAAGCACGCATTTCTTCCTTGTCTGACTCTGGTACAGCCTTGGTTTCTTGGTCCTCCACCCTTCCTTTTGCTGATAGGGGCGGATGGCTCTCCTCCTCACTCTGGTGAAGCCCATCACCCCCTGGCCTGGCAGCTCATATCTCAAATTGCTCAATAACAAAGGTATTTGGTGTCTTTAAACAGTTTGGTTTATCTGGGCCTGCCCTGGCTTTTAACCAGCTCCACAGAAAAGAGCAAACAGGCCCAGCACAGGCTTCGGCTGCACAGCAAGGCAACGCCCAAGGCTGAGCTAGCTCTTCTACGTGACAGCACGCAGGAAACGACCCCTGTGAGGAGGGAGCAAAGGCAATGATGAGGTGAGTCCCATCAGTCCAGCCAAGGAGACACAGAATTGAAAGGACTATCATTCAGTGCACTCAGTGCAGCTCAGGAAGGGCTGCTGAGAGAAGGGCAGCCAGGGCTCAGTGAGATTTAACCACTGCAAGAGCCACTGCTCAGTTAATTTGGACTGATTTTTCTGCTTGGCCCTGTGCGGACAAGCCCCGAGCTGGAGCAGCTCAGCAGAAACAACAGGCAGCAAACCTGAGAAAGGAGGGCTGCTTTCAGGCAGCATCTCCTCTTTGGAACCTGGGTCTTGGAGAGGGTTTGCAAGGGCTCGGTGCTCCTGGATGGAGCTGTCACAAATGTTTCCCCCCAAAGGTAGTTGCTAACGTGCCGAGCGAGCTGATGGCAGAGGGCTAACCCAACCACAGAAACCACAAGGGTTGAAGCTGTGATGATTTGGGGAAATACCTGCTGATCAGAGGGGCAACCCATCAGGGACCTGCCTGGTGAAGCCTGGAGGGTGCGGGCAGGGAGAGCCCGGCTGGGCAGCGCAGTGCAGCGGTGGGTTCGAAGATGCCGTGGCCGGGGCTGGGCCCTTGGCAGAGGGTGACGGAGAGAGATCCTGCATGATTCAGCCTGGCCAGGGCACAGCCTCACCCCACGGCCGAGGCTGGGAGGGTGAGGACCTACGAGGCTGGGCTGTCTCCTGGTCCTGGATCCAGCCCGTTCTCGCAGGGTTGAAGCCCTCAAACACTCTGCCACGTGGTCTCCCCCGATACCAGTCTCTGCTGGGCTCCTGGTGTGGGCTGGGTGCGTTTGACCTGATTTCCAGCTTGCACCCTACTGGTACTGCCCTCACTGGGTGCTCCCCAGGCAAGGAAACAACAGCTGTGCTGCAACATCCCCCTCCTTCCAGCCAGACAGGGGCTGCATTCCCAACGCAAATCTTTCTAGCAATAAAAACGGTAAGATTCCCTGCCACACATAATCCAGGCTAAAATGCCCGGTGCCTCCCGAGACCAGCACCCCGGAGAGGTGGTGGAGGACCCCATCAGCCACGGCAGAGCCACGGGAGAAGCTGTCCTGTGCCAGGGAGAGCCCAAAACCTGCCTGTCTGTCCAGGCGTTTCCGATGGCTCTGGGGAAGGTGCCCAGATCCTACGGTGATGGGCACCACTGAAACCTTCACTGGAGGCCACAGGCAGGAGGGGGCAGACACCACAGTGCCGGCTCGGGGGGTAGGACCTGTGCCCAGAGCACAGGAACAGAGCGGGGGGACAGTGTCTGAAAACCTGTCTTGTCTTGTCTTGCTTTTTTTTTTTTTTTTTTTTTTTTTAGTACAAGGTAAAACCTTTATTACAACTTTTCATTCATAGGTATACAACATCTGAAAGACAGATATGGGGGAAAAAAAAAAGTAATATTGTTATAAAATGTCACATTTATTGCTACATTACTGTTATATACAGGACAGTTCTCAAAATCTACTTTAAAAAAGTTAGGATTATTTAAAAATTCCAAATAATCCAGCCAGCTGTTTTGACACTTGTATAAAATTATTTAAAAAAATGAAAACAATTCTTATCTTGAGGCACTCAGAAACACAATTTTATCCCCCAATTGTGATTCATTTCAAAGAACAACGCATTTTCCCACCCCCAAATACTTTATTTTTTTTTTTTTTTTTTGCTGGGTTAGGCATATATATATATATATTTACTATATATATAGTTCAAAACTATAATGTGTATCTGATTTAAGAACAAGGATTTCAGCCACTTAAGTACATCTGGATTTACAGGTAGGCAGCATAAACATCAAAAGCAAGGACCATTTTTTAAAGGCCAAAAACCAAACCCAAAACCAACCCAAAACTTTCTACGGGGTTAAAAATAAACAACTTCCGCAGGCATCTGCCATCTGCTTTCCCACCCCCCCCACCCCCCCCCCCCCATCCTACAAAAATATATAGAAAGAGCAACCCAGTAACGCTTCGTTTCCCCGCTGAGCTGGAGCCCTCCATAGCAAACGGGTCATTTCCCGCAGAGCGAGGGGGCCCAGCGGGTGGTTGGGGTCAGCCCTGCTCCGCTTCACCAGGGGCCTCTTTCTGCCCTGCCGGCAGATGAACCAGCGCTGGCAGGAGGGCGCACGGCTTCCCGCCGCTCCTTCCCTCCCCGCCAGGCCCCGTGTTGCCGGGTTTGCTCCAAAGCTGGTGGGGTTTCAAGGGATTTGGGAAGACATAGCACCGGGAAAGGGGGGGGGAACCGCCGTGTCCCCAGGTTGCTGCTGTGAGAGGGGCCGCGCGGAGCTCCGCGGCTCCCGTGGGCACGGGGCTGCTCTTTGGCGAAAGGCCTGGGTAGCCAGGACACCCCGTTTTGAAGTGCAAACCGCTCTGCTCTCCCGTCCTGGTGCCCGCAGCTGCACTGTACCAAGGTGTAAGAGGGCACGAGTTTTTATTCCCTCTCCTTCCAGTGCGGTGGGTGTTTGGCTGGAGCAGGGTGGGTATTGCAAAACGTGAGGAGCAAGAGGCGTGCGCAAGCAGAGGAACAGAAATACCGGTGTGGAGACCCACGGCAGGGCTGCGTCTTGCCCCTGAGGGGGGGGTGCAAGATGGACACAGAAGGTTTGGCAGAAAGGACGCCTGCGGCCCGCAGCACCCTCCTAACCACCTCTACGCTCGGGAGTCCCGCAGCAAAGGCACTGCACCTGCCGGCTCTGCAGAAGGGGCGAATTGCCCTGAAGATCCAAACTCTGCGCGGAGCACCGGGTCCCCCCCCCCACCAGCCCCGAGGGCAGCGGGGCAGGGAGAGGCGGCTGTGCCGCAGCACCGACCTGCAGCATCCACCTCCCAAATCCCCCCGCCTCCGCCCCAGCAGCCGGTGGCACGGTTCTGCCCCAACTGCAAAGAAACCCACGGTGGCTGCGCACGAGGGGAAACAGCTCAGAGGCGCTGGCTGGAGAGACTGGGGAGCGCAGGAGGAGGGGAACACACCTTCAGGCTTGAGGTGGTTGAAGGAAGACGAGCCAGGCCTGAGGCTCAGGCATTAGCAGAGCGGTCCGTAGAGCTGGGCAGCAACGAGGTGGGACACGGCTTCTCCATTCAGAGGGACTGGGCGAGGCGAAGGGTGCTCGCGGTGAGCTGCCAAGCATCGAGCAGAAGGCACAGGAGGGTGAAGGGTGCGTGGGGGAGCCCAAGGACCAGGCCTTGCCCACTCCAATTCAGTGCTCAGCTCCCGCAGCATGAGTTGGAAGGGGTGTTCCTGTGGTGTCACCCCTCATCTACACCCCCCCCCCCCCCGCCACCTCCAGCTCCAGGTCTTGAAATGCTTTCGGAGCTGCTAGAAATGAAGCTGGACCCTGAGAGCAGCAGGGAGCGGGAACTCAGCAGCCATGGACAAGAGCACAGAGAATGGGCTGGGGTGGGATCTGGAGAGCCCCGGGGGGAGGGGAGCGGGGGTTGCATAGGATTTAACAGGGCAAAGACCTCGTGCAAGCTTGTGGTACAGAAAACAGGTCTTGCTATTGCTGGTGTCGAGCAGGAACGGGGGAATCCAGTGGCCACGGCTTGCTCCAGGCTAGCCAGCACTGCACCTCGGGGGCTGATGGCTCGTCCTGGCCCAACTCCAGTACTGGCTTTGCTTCACCATTCTCAGCTCCCGTCTAAAATCCCAGGCCAACGCCTTGCTGCGACTGGAGCTGGTCAAATCACCAGCACAGCACACAGCAGGAGGACCACGGCTCCACTGGCACTGGAGTTGGCAGCCTCCCCATGGGAGAAAAGCTCAGGGATGCGGGGGAGCGGGGGTTTCAAAAGCCTCCTGTTTCTCAAGGCCCCCCCACCCGCCGAGGGGGAGGATGCACTGGGTTGCCCAGGGCCCAAAGGCTCTGCTGGCTTCAGCGGGTGCACGCGTGAGACACAAAGGACCTCTGAGAGCGGCTTCTGCACTGAACCTGAAATTGCAGACTCCTGGGGAAATCCCAGCCTGATTCTGTCCTTCCTGTTCAATCGCTACTGGGCAGCGAGTGCAAAAGCTCTAGGAAACGGGCTCATCACCGACGCGTGGGCTAGGGGCAAAAGCCGCTCGCTGAAGTCACAGCTGGGGAGGTTTCACATCACACTCCTGCATTTCTCTGCCGGAGAGGGCAAAAACCCCCACCTGCAAAGCATCCAGACCCCTGGCCCTGGAGCGATGGCATCCAAGGGGCAGCAAGGTGACCCCAGTGCGTGGGGCGGGCACGGACCTGCTCCCCAACACTCAGATACAGGATCTTGGGGTGCCCAGATAACGCGACAGCCCTGATTCCTGCAAACCGTCTGCCCAGGCAGCGCTGCGCCCCTTGCTCCCAGGCTGGGGCTCGGGGCAGACAGGAGGGGCACGCACTGGGATCCAGATGCCCCAGGTCCTGTCCCTCCTGCCACCACACCTCCGTAGCTGTAAAAGCAGGGGAGCAGAGAGCCCGAGGAGATGCTGGCAAAGAGCTGGAGCTGAACTCAAGCCAGGCAGTTGCTCGGCTGTGAGTAGATCTGACTGGCGGGTCACAGGCAGGAGAGCGACTGCCAAACCAGGGGTTAGCTGGAATTTTGCTCCCCGGGGGGTGCACTGGCAGCGGCTGCGGGGTTGTGAGCTGGAGCAGGCAGACTGCCACCACCTCCCGTCGCTGCTGAGCACCGTCGGTACGAGACCATAAAGGTGCAGTCTCTGGGAGGCTGCAGCTGTTTTGCTCTGGGGCGAAAGCAGGTGAAGAGGGAGAAAGAACAAAAATCTGCAATTTTTACTGTTAATAAACTGGATTCCAGACACTCCCAAGCACCTGGCTCATGCACAGCACTCAGGCAGGAGGTGCAGGGAGGCAGGGGGCTGCTTGGGGGGGGGTGGGGGAAGAGGAGGTGCCTAGAGCCGGGGACCCCAGGACCCCAGCCCAGCCGCACAAGAAGCGTCCCCTGGGACCCCAGTTCTGCTGTTCGACCGGGATGCAGCTCAGCTGCTGTGGCCCGGGAAGAGAGCAACTAGAAAATGCACACAGGGGGAGGCAGCCTCTCCCCTGATCCCCCATCTGCTGAAGGAAGCTACATGGGGGCTCTGTGGCCCCCATCGACGAGGGGCACGCAGCCCAGGAGAACCCATACATGCAAGGCTGAGAGAGGAAGCAGAAAACTGAATGTCACCCATCTGTGACACCTCTCTTTGCAGGACCACTGGCGCAAGGGACATACAGCCAGGCAGAGAAGCAAGTCTGGGGAGAAAAGTGATCTGTAAGATCGTACAGCTGAATGCCAGCAGAGCTGTGGGCTGGGGAGAGCGCAAGCACTGGCCTTCTCTTACCACGACACCTAAAGACAAGAGTTTCATTGCAACAACCTGTATTTCAGGGCTGGCCTGGTGGTATTTTGGGGACAGCAGCTGACAGTGCTTGTTTTCAGAAAAGCCACTCTCCCTGGCAGGTTACAGGCACCACATTCACACTGAGCCAAACACACTGGCAAGCCAAAGTAATTTTTCCTTGCTGCGCTCCACAAGGCACCTGGAGAGCAGAGATGCCACTGGGGCAGCATCCCAGCACACAAAGCACCCTGCGCCGTCGAGGCAGCTCCCTGGCCCAGCACTGCCAGCCCCTGACACTGCGCTGTTCCGCTGGAGGAACCAAGATCTCCAATCCCTGGCACCGGGGGTTGATGCTCAAGGACCTTCATCCAAGCCTTGCCAAGGAAGTGAGCTGATTTTGCTGTCAAGAAAACAGCATCTACACCAGCAAAATGCAGACGAAAAGCCCCATCTGTGTGGCAGGGCCTGGTGGTTTGGGGATGATGGGAAGGGCTCTGTCTCCTCAGGAGTTCCCCCTGGCCTGCAGAGTGTCAGCCAGGACTTGGAGGGGATGAAGCAGTTCAGCAAAATTTTCAACAAATCATAAATATTCTCAAATTTCCAACTTAGTTGACTTTCTGGATTTTTCTTCACCACAATCTCTTTTCTTTAAATCCAGTTATACGTGACTGCCACCTCAAATTCTTGTTGCAAAATAAAAATGCCGGGGAAGCACTTTTTAGGGTTTTTTTGTAGTGTTTCAAGCTTGCCATTGCTGGGACATTACTCCATCCCTCCCTGGTCCTGGGGCACTGAGCCAGCAGAAAACCCTGAGCAGCAGCAAGCGCCCTGTTTGCCCCAGCAGCGTGCTGCTGACGGGGCAGAAACGCTCACGGGATGAAGCAGCCTCTTACAGGCTGCACAAAGTGGCCGATGAGTCCCCAGAGCCCTACCCCAGAGCAGGAATCGGGGTTGTCTGAGCATCCGGACCCAGCTGGCGGGCAACGGAGGGGCACTGCCCCCCCTCCCTGTGTGTTTTAGCATCCCCAAACTGAACTTGCTCCAGCGCAACCCAACCCATCAGGATGCTTTAGCAAGACATGGCTTTTGCTGCAAGGGAGCTGCGCGGCTGTCACACGCGGAGGAAAACCTCATCCGTCTCACGCGGCCCAGGGCTTAGGCAGGCAGAAGGACCCAAGGGAGGGAGGAGTGTCATAACCTGATGAGCTCATTAGCCTGGCACATCTGTTGACACGGGCGAGAAGAACGTGTGTTCCTGGGCTGCAGGGACCACAGCCACTGACCCTCCCTGGGGACTGAGCTGGAGGCTGCTGTGGTCTCAGGTCTCACCGCACAGAAGCGCTGGTGGGAGCAGCAGGCTGTGGGCAGGGAAAGCCCGGAGCACCCGAAAGCCTCAGAGCTCCAGTCGGACCTTGCAGAGTCCCAGGGCAGTGCCGGTGCCAAGGGCAGCAGGGACAGATGTCCCATACTGCTCCGGCACTTGTAAAGTGGCTCCTCCTGGAGATGCTACAGGGGCTGAGCCCACGGTACCCGGGCGTCGGTGGCAGATGAGCAATGTCCCGAGCATTTCCAGCAGGCTTTGCTGGAGCACGAAGCAGAACTACAAGCACAGAGGAGCACCAGGAGGTATGCCAAAGCCCGCAGCTACTAGGAAGTGCCACAGGACCTAAATCCTGCTCACCACTCCTTCCCTTTCCCTGTGCCAAAGCAATACAGCTTCCCCAGGAGCACAGGCCAAGGAAGCAGAGGGGAGAGATGGACCCTGTCCCCACGCGTCCCCCAGGCCCGCACCAGTGCCCCATGAACCACCCGACTGGGCTCTGCCAGGCGGATCTGGGCAGCAGTCGGCCCCAGTCCAAGATAATTACAGACACTGCTGAGATGGGATTTAACATCCCCCCAGCGAGCTGACCACGTCTGCCGGCAGAGCTGGGAAGAACCGGGCACAAAACGTTTCAGAAGGAGAAGCAGAGGGAAGAAACAAGAATAAATTCCTGGTGGATGCTTTTCCATTGGCAACTCCGGAACGGCTGCCGCGGCTCGGCACCACTGAGCACCTCTGCTTGCTCCTGCACCTCCGGGGCAGGCTGCCACGCAGCAGGGCTGCCGGGGATCTTCCTCCCGCTGAGCACGCCGGAGCGGTCTGGAGCGACACTGGGAAGCTCTCGGAGCGAAGGGATCGCTGGCCCAGCTTGGCTGCTGGAGTGTCTCGCGCAGGATGGGCGCTGGCTGCTGCCCTCCTCTCCAGCACGGAGAGAGGAGCCCATGGGCTTGCGAGCGTGGCCACTGCATCCCCACGGCAAGCCGGGCGGCATGCCACGCTGAGTTTGCTACCCAGGATGCTCTGGAGACAGTGGGCGAAGGTGGGTGTCAAACCACCCCCTCCTCAAGCCTGCGGCGCTTTTGTGCTTCCAGCCGTGGTGGCTCCAGCGCGGGGGAGAAGCTGCGCGGGGACGGGGATCCTGCCGCCAGTCGCAGCCTGCTGAGGGCTGGAGCGAGCGCACGTGCCAGGCAGCCGCTGCCCTCCCTGCCACCCTGGGCTCTGCCGCCAGCGTCCGCCGGTCCGTCTGCTGCAAGGCCGCCGGGCACGGTGTCCTGCTGCTGCCTTTGCTCCGCCTGCCTCCGCCTCTTCCCCGTCCTCCAGCTTTGTTCGGTTCCTCTTTGTTCGGCGCTGCCCCTGGAAGCGCCTCCGAGAGCAGGCGCTCGCTCAGACGTGTGGGCAAGAGGCACTTTCCTCCGCCCCGGCCTTTCCTCTTGCATCCGTGTTCCTTCTTTGCTTACCTTGAAAGCGCCCCAGTCCCTCGGGTCTCTTCCACCCCCCAGGGCCTGCTCTCATCACGACGCTCTGGGACAGCCGTGGGGCACCGCTGCCTCCGGGACTCTCCGGGAGTAAAGCAAATCTTGCAGAGACCCTCGATGGACCTCGGCCGCCTCCCAGGAGGAGCGGGAGCAGCGCTGCAACTTGCTTTGCTGTTTTAACTTCCTTTTCCCAAATCAGAAGCGGCCAAAGCAAAGAGATGGTGAATTCAGCACATGAGTTTGTTTGTTTTTTTATAATGGAAGGTACAAGCCAGGCGAGGAAGAACATCCCCTCGCTGTGGCTACATTCGCTTTTAGTGGCTTTTAGAGCCGAATCTGAGAATTCCTCTCTTTATATCCAGTCTCTCTTAATACAATTTTAATATTCTGGTTGATCCTAAAGATGCAACGTTAACTATAGAAACAGCAGCAGAAAAGCATGGGGTACAAGACATTTTTTTATACAAAAAAAAATTCTTTTCGTTGCTTACAAAACATATGCAAAAGAAGCTAAAAAAACCAAAAGGCATTGCTATTTGTTCTACATAAAAAATCTCATAACTAATGTTCTTTTTTTTTAAAAAAGAAATATCAAGCTTAGGCACAATTTTGCTGCTGGCTGCTTGTGAACAAGCCAAGAGAACACGCCACCCCCTCCTAACTGAGTGATATGTATTGACTGTTCTGCACTTTATACTTAAGGCAATTTTTTTGTTTTCATTTTGTTTTTGACAAAGTGTTTTTTCCACCCCTTACGTCATGCCAGGATCCGTCCATGTGTGTCAGTATTAGCAGTACTAAAGTTTATGGTTCGAGAAGGTTGCAGGTCACACTGAGGGTTTTCTTCCTACAGATCTCTGTATCCAGAGGAACAAAAAGATCTACAAATAAAAAAACCAAAAGTCTGAAGTGAGAGAAACCCAAATGAGAATAAAATTCTGCTCCTCCTGTAGCGGGGGCCGGAGGCCCCCCTGCTGCAGCCTCGTCTCTGCAGGAGAAGTCAGCCCCGAGGGCTCGACGTGGCTGCAGCAGAGCCGAGACGTGAGCTCACTCTTCTGCCCAGACACCAGCTTGCCTTTTTTTTCAGTTTGTTTCTTTTTTTTTTTTTTTCCCCCTCAGGGCAGCCCCAGGCACCCACCGGCGCAGGGGATGTCGGGGGACCACGGCCCTTCCACGCGCTCCGGGGTGCGACTGCAGGGCCCCCCCCGACCTCCCTGCGCCGCTCGGGCCAAACAGGCTCAGCTACTCCCGGCCCAGCACGGGGTTCCCTTAAAAACAGGGACAGCCCAGCAGAGCCTGAGCCTGCCACGGCCTCGCAGGGGGAATTTCACCTTCTGCATCTCCCTGGGCATTTCTGGGACCCGCCCGTGCCCTCCCATAGGGTCAGCGGGCAAAACTGTTGCTGGTTGCCAGAGCTGGGAGGTGCAGAGCAGGCTGGGCTCGCTCAGGGTGGTGAGAACACTGAAACCCTCCGGCCCCGCTGTGGGGCTGCACCTCTCCTGCGGGCAGAGGCTTTGGGTGTCCACGGGCAAGCCAGCAACATGCACGTGCAAGTCATTTACTGAAGGTAAATTAAGAAGGACACTGGCTGGTGCCGAAGGAGTGGGGCTGAGCAGCCAAAGCAGAGCAGCACGTGTCTGCAGTGGGTTGGACCCGCCGCGGGGTCCATGCCGGGGTGGGGGATGATACCTTTACATGTGTCCAACAGGGTTGTGACCATCTCCTAGACCAGGATGTGAAGCTGAAAGTGTCATCTGGGGATCTCCTACTACTCCGGACACTTTCTCCTCTTCCCGACGCTTCAAGCAGGCTGCTTTAGGGTTCAGATTGCGCTCTAGGCCAAAAACAGCAAGGGAGGGAGGGAAGCAACCTCAGTTTGGGCAACGGCATCGTGCACAGCAGCAGCATCCAAAAGAGAGAGTGAGGACAGAGTCCCAGGACAGACACACGGGACCGTGCGAGGAAACAACTTCAATGCAAGTGGCTGCAATAACTTGGCTGGACCCCTGCTAGAGCAAAACCCCATGCCCGGCTGAAACACCATGCCAATTTAAACACGTGCTTGCTTACAGAAACCCTCCAGTGCCTCAGCCAGCTCTCAGAGGTGAGGACTGAGTTTTCCAAAGCTGCTTAATGGGATCCAGGCGCCAAATTCCCATTAAACGTAAAGGGAGAGGGACGGAGCGGCCTCCAATCCACCCCGGGGCCGGGGCTTTGGAAAGCTCAGCCTGCGGCGCGGTGCAGCCCAGGGGGCCGCCGGCGATGCAAACACCCAACCTCGCACCGAAAGCAGGACTCACGACGGAGATGCACGCACACACAGAGACGTGGGGGGGAGAGAAAGGCCCCGAAATGCACCTGCCAGCTGTTACCATACCTCGTACTTGCTGCTCCAGGCCCAGAATGACCTGCACCGCTTGCTGTAGGATGATCAGTTTGGTCTGTGCTTTGTCCGTTTTTAAGTGCATCTGACACATGCGTCCCAGTTCTTTAAAGGCCTCGTTAATGTCCCGCACACGCACCCTTTCCCTGGCGTTATTGGCCATTCTCCTCTCCCGGTCCCTCAGATCTTTGTCTTCCAGTGACAAGGCCTCGTCTGTACTGCTGGGTTCATAGCACCACAGGGATTAGTCAGGGGGGTGGTACCAAGGGGGGGGGCTATACGTTGCCGTGCTGGTAGTGCTTCTGGTGTCCGCTGGAAATGGCTCAAACAGCCTCACTTTGCCAAGCCAATTCGTCTCGGGCGCTTCCTGGAGCAGCCCGGGGTAACTGGGGCTGCGCGTCGCCTCTGCGACCCACGCGAAGGTGCTGCCAGCACGGGGCTGGAGGGTGCTGCCGGGGGCGAGGGCAGGCAGTGGATGCAGTATCGACACCGACACCTTCTCTCCCCCCTGCAAACTTCTGCCTTCCTGTTCGTTTTTGGCTGAAGACTAAAAGTTCGAGGGGGTCTCGGCCAAAAACCTTGGGTTCGTCCCCCAGGGAAAGACTTTTTGGCAGAAAGCAAATCTCCCTTTGTAAGATTGCCTTCAAAAATCCCACCTGCAGCAAAATCCTCCGAGTGAAGGTGCTTCAGGCGGCCGTGCTGCAGCAGGGCCGGGCAGCCTGGCCCTTAGGGGTGGGGGGGCAGCACCAGGGGCAGGAGCCAAGTGCCCCGGCTGCTGCCAAGGGCCAGTCTCGGATGCAGACACTGAATCCAGGTCTTTCAATACAGCCCAAAAGGGGTGATTTTCTTTTCCAGGCACGGTCAAGGAGCTTTGGGAGAGCATCCACCGCTAGCAGCATTCCAGGGGTGCCCGAAACAGGGAGGGACACGGGGGAAGGCAGAGTCGTGCTGGCAGCATCTTAGACAGTGGCCTCGCCCGCAGCCCATCCCCTCCAACCCCCCAATTTACTGTACAGACGACCTTCTCCCCCAGAGCAAAAATTCTTGCCGGAAAGACACCTATCTGAGGAGGGTCCCTGGGTGAGACCTGCCACTGGGACAGACTGTGGCCTTCGGCTCCAGGGGAGCCATGTGGGGATAATAAGCCTTCACCGAAGAGGGGCCGCAGGGTCAGAGCCTTCCTGGGTGTGCTGGGGGGGTCTGGAGAGCCTGCAGACAGCGCCCAACCGCGTTGAGGGGGAGCAAGGGCTCCCCAGGCGAGTGTTTGCCTGTGTGGGACAGAGGGTTGCCCACCGTCCCTTGCCTGCACCCTCTCCTTGCTGCCTCGTCCCTGCCCACGTCCCCCCCTCGCCGCCCCTGTGCCCCAGCCGGCACTGCCACCTTCTCCCCAGCTCGCCCGGGACGGCCGCGGGGAGCGGAGCCACCAGCCGCCCCGGCGCCCCAGCCCAGGGTCCTGGCTGGTGGGTCACCCCCCGTCCCCCCCCAGCAGGGACACAGCTCCAGCAGCACCTCGCAGGCAGGCGGCAGCCGGGCGGGATGGAGCCGGTTCCCCGCCACCGGCGAGTGCTGCTGGCGGCCGCGCAGCCAGGCAGGGTCCTCCGGGCTGTAAGGACGGGCTGTGCCTTGGCCACCTCGTGCCCCGCTCAGAGGGGGCACTGACCTGCCTGCCTGGCCCCCCCCCTGCAACACCCCCCAGGCTTCCACCTTTCTCTTCCTGCCCCGGTAGCTGCTGACAGCAGCAGGAGGATCCCGGCAGTCCCGGCTGGGCACCCGGGGACCCGACGGCCCCACTCCCACGGCAGCGCAGGAGGAGGGGACGCGGGGGGGGGGGGGGGGGGCGGCTTCTCTTCTGCAAAGCAGCCCGAAGGCCAAACGCAGCAGGGAAGGGACACCCTGGCTGCCTGCGCTAACGCCTGCTGACAGCAGCCCACGGGGCTCGGCTCGCCTCCCCGGCTGCATCCAAGAAGGGTTTAAAAAGGGACAAGCGTGGGAGACCAAAGTGAACACGGTGCCAACTCTGTCTACCCCCTGCCCCCCGCCGCCCCTCGGCTCCTGCCTCGATCCGCAAGCAGCAAGTACAAGGTAGAGAGTGGGACCACCGAGAGGTCACGGCTGGGGACTGTCTGTAGGAGATCGGAAAGAACAGAACCAAAAAATAAAAACTCAAAATAAAAAATAAAAAGGAAGGGGAAATTAAAAAGAGACAGGAAAAAATATACATGTTATGAAAGGCAAAAAATTACAAACTGAAGAGAGGCACAAAGGACTCCAACATCAATGCAACAGCAGAGGCCAGCAGAGAGGAGCACAGCCAGGCACAAACCACCGATGTGTGTTACAACAGCCTCTGCAGAGAGAAAGGGGGTTAACCTGCCACGGCACCCTGCGCAGCGGGGCCGGCGAGCGGGAGCATGCACTGCGGGATGCGGGAGCAAAGCGGCAGAGTCCTCCGGAGCTGGGGGGGGGGGGGGGGGGGGGGGGGGGGGCCAAGCCCTCCGCCTCCCCTCCCACCGGGACGCGGCGCCTGGCGCGGGCACGGGCGGCCGAGGCGGGCGCGCACGCTCGTGGGAAGGGAGCGAAGGTGCCCGGCGAGGCAGAGCCCCCCCCCGCGCGCCCGCCCGCGCCCCCAGGCCCTGCTGGGGATGCGCAGCGCTCCCAGCTTGCGTCGGAGACCAGTTTGTACAGGCAGCGAGGGCTGCTCGACCCCGGGCTCAGCGTCTCCAGCCCACTGCCCCTTGCACGGCTCCAGGGATCCCCAGGGATCTGCCGGGTGGGGACAGGAGCGCGGAGCCCCGCGCCGGGTGGGCAGGGAGGGCAGGGCATCGCTCAGCGCTGCTGCGGCCACGGGCTCTGTGCTGGGAGCAGCCCTCGGAGAGACGACAGAGCTGGGAGATTTGCTGTCTTTTCGGTTTTGGTTGGTTTTTTGGTTTTTGTTTTGTTTTGTTTTGTTTTTTTTAACATTTTGCTGGCGAAGCAGCTGAGCAAAACACCTGGCTGCGGGAAAGCGAGGACAGCGCAGGTGCCCCCTTAGGGACCGGCATGCAGCACACGCAGCGGCAGTGGAGAACAAAAGAGAGAACAGCAGGGATGCAAAAAAGGGGGGGGGGGGGCGGAACTAAAAAAAAACAAAAACAAAAAAATGACATCCACAGCCTTGGGAACCCAAGGCCACAGGGGAGAGAGACAGTGCGAGGCACCACAGCACATGTCACAGGAGACAGACAGACAGACAGCCCCGTGCCGATCAGATACGTAAAATATCACCACTCCGGGACCCTCACTGACCTCTAACTTGTTGCTCCAGGTTCAGTATGACTGATACGGCCTGGTGTAGGATTAGCAGTTTGGTCTGCGGTTTTTCGCTGTTTAGGTGGAGTTGGCACATGCGTCCGAGCTCTTTAAAGGCCTCGTTGATGTCACGGACCCGCAGGCGCTCACGGGCATTATTGGCGACCCTCCTTTCTCTCTCTCTCTCGGCTTTTTGCTCTGGGGGAAGAAGATCGTCCTCCTCATCCTCATCTTGACTAATGGTTTAAAATAAGAACGAGACAGGGACATTCCTCGCGTGCACTCTCAGCACTGGTCAACTCACAGAAAAGAAACACACGTCGAGGCACCGAGACGCCAAGCCCCGTGCGTGGCCCCGCCGGGACGTGCCGGCCCGGTGCCCCGCGCTCGGACACGGGGACACACAGTGGCTTTGGAGAGAAGCAATTAAGGCTCTTCTTCTGCCTTTTGGGGTTTTGTTTGGTTGGTTTGGTTTTTAAACAACAAAGAAAGAAACCACAACAATGCGATTAAGGCCTGAGCTTGTTGCTGGGCAGTTGCAGGCTGGCCTGGAGAAGGTGTGAGGGCCAACACTGGTGTCCCAAGCTGGTGTTTTGGGAAGACGCAGCCCTCTGCCTCCAGGGCAGGAGCGGGGCTGGCGCTGCCTCTCCGGGCAGAATCACCCCGGTGAGGTCACCGAGCCGCCGGTGAGGTTGCAGACAAGCCCGCACGTTGGAAGGGCTCTACCCGATCCGCTGCCACACGTCTGGCTGGCTGTGACAGAGGATACAGGAGCCCCAGGCAGACAGCGGAGACAACCCCGGGCAGGGAGGAGGTCAAACCCTCCCCCCTGGCCCAGGGGAGCTGAGCGCTCGGTCCTTTCCACGCCCAGCCACAAGCAACGCCCTGAGCGACCACGCAGGCGGGGGCAGCTCGTGGGGGCGAGGCGCAAGCCCCCTCTGCTTTACGAGCAGGAGGAAGCCCTGTGGCCACGGGGACGGGAGCCAGCAGGACAGGGTGGCAAGGACCCTTCTCCAAAGCTGGCCGGCCGCGGGGGAGCCGCGGGAGCCCCGGCTGCGCGAGGACACACGAGGCTCCTGCGCCGGGCAGGGGCTGGCGGCTCCGCGCCGCGGGGCGACCGCCGGCCTCACCGGGCCCAGCCCGGCGCCCGGGTCGCCGCGGCCGTACCCCAGCCCAAACACCCCCAGCCTGGTAACAGAGTAAGTGAAGGGAGAGACCTGTTCAAAGAGCACCTTGTTCTGTTCCGGGAGGGTTTCAGCTCCTTCTTCTCCTCTTCCGAGTTATCTGCCACTGACGTGTTCTCCTCATCCTCCTTCTCTTCCCTCTTTATTTCGCTGGTTCCTGAGGAGACGCTGCTTCGCCCCAGCCCCCCTGACAAGCCTGCCGAGGAAGCAGAGCCACACACGGAGGTTGGCGGGGCCGGACCCACACGGAGGGCTGGGGGGTCCCAGGCCCTGCTCCTGCTGTGCTCCATCGCCAGCATGCGGCATCCCAGTCTCATCCTGCATTGCTGGTCCACGGCAAGAGGAGCTGGAGAGATGTTGGCCCTGCCCTGCCACCGCTCCCCGTTGTTCTCCCCACACCTCCCAGGCCCTCCGGAATCAGAGCCCGACCTCCCCCAGCAGCGCAGGGCCCCGGGGCTTCCGTGAACCCGCAGCTGGCTGGGAGGACACGAACATGTAGGTCAAACCTCTGGAAAAGGCTCAGGGTAGAAACTGTCCTGCAGATGCTGCAAGGAAGCACCAGCCTTGCAACAGCACCCACCTCCCCCCCCCCCGGCTGCTGCTGCACAGGGGCTGGACCTAACGGGGTGACCCAAATCACCCCCGCGGCCAGCGAGCCTCAAGCGTGCACGCCTGCAGAGCTGCCTTACCGCTGTACGTGTCTTGCTGCCTGCTGAGGTCAGGGAGCGAGCTGGGCTGTGACGGAAGGGTGACATGGTTGTGGAGCATGCTGGGGTTGCTGGACAACCCATCTTCGGGGTGACCTCCCCCCACCTACAGCAGAAGAAGCAGAGCAAGCCTTGAAGGGAGGGGGAGGTGTCACGGCCAGTGGGCACGGGCACAGTCACCCCGAGCGCAGCCGCGGGGCTCCGCAGACCCGGCTGAGGCGCAGCCGCGTCCCCTCCTCGCACGGTCCCACCACCCAGAGCACGGGGCATGCAGGAGGGAAGAGCCAACCTGCTCCAGCACCAGCTCTCCTCTGGGGACCGCGGCAGGGGCACTGCAGAAAGCAGCTCCGTGCCCTGCACGTCAGCTGGACGAAGCAGAAAGCCCCCAGCAGTGCTGTCCCCCGCCTCGCCGTGAAAAAGCCTCTCTCTGCCTGGTTGCAAGGCTGGCACCCTGGAGAGGACACCCTGCCTGGGCTGCACATGTCCTGTCTCCATCGAGCGTCAACGTTTCTGCCACTTCCCCAGTGCCACCAGAGCGAGGGACATCCCAGCAACGTGAACCTCGCTCCGAAGGGCCTGGGCGCAAAGGGTGAAGGGCAGGCAGCCTTTCTGAGCCTGCACTGCACCGGCCGGGGACCAGCAGGACGAAGCCAGCCCTGCTGCAAACGCTCTCGTTTCTGCAGCTGGCAGCAGTTTGCAAGAGGACACATGATTCACCGCTCAGTAGCAGGGCCTGGGGAGCTCGAGAGGGAAGCACGCCTGGTTCTCTAGAGACTGGAGACATGTTCCTGTTCACTGCAGCAAGCAACGAGCTCTGCCAAAAACATGCTCCTGTGGTCACCAGCCTCTGGACAAGGGGGGGAACCTGGTGACCCAGCACGGGACCCCAGCATCCCTGTGCTCAGAGCACCCGGGATTCCCTGGGTCACGTTCCCTGGAGCCCGAACGAGCCATCACACACGAGAGCTCCTCGGGTGCACGGAGGGACGCGGTGCCTGCCCGAATGGTTCAGAGCAGAGAAGTCCTGGCAACACCCGGCTCCCTATATCTGTGGTGCTGCCCTGCACCCGATCCTTCTCTTCCTTCTCCCTGCACCCCCTGCGGACAGCCTGAAGCTGTTTTGAGGGATTTCCATCCACGCTGCGGGGAAAGAAGCAGAGCTTCTAACACCTCTGCGTGCCCCAAGAAGGGACAGGAGTGAACTGCACGTGGGGCTTGTGCCCGAGAGCCACCGCTGTGCTGAGAGAGGATTCAAACCCCCCCGCAGGAATACGGCAAGCCGCCGCGCTGCTGTGCACGTCACCCAACCAAAGGTGTCCACAGCCGACCCAGGCTGGACCACGCCGAGCGATCCTCACCCCAAAGGCAACGTCCCTCCGGACGCCAGGGGACCCCGCCGTGCGGGTCCCCAGCATGTCCCCACCCGCTGCCAACGGTGCTTCCACGCTTACCAGACTCGGGTGCCTGTTCCCCAGGGACATGACCGAGGTGGGGAAGGCCTGGCCCAGGCTGCCCACGGCGGCACTGTGGGCTGGCGCCGAGCCCAGGAGCCCGTGCATGTCCCCGTGGCTGCTCGGCATGGCGGCTGTCTGGCCCACGGCGTGATTCCTCAGCACGTGGATGGCTTCGTCCAACCTGTCTTCCATTTTGTTTTGCTTAAAGGACAGGACAGAGAAATAGGTCTGCGTTAACGCCTGCAAAGCCAGCAGCTCACCGCAGCCCTCTACACTAAGGAATGGCTGGCAGCAATCACGCACTCAGCTACAGCACAGCAGGTATGGGGAACCTCCAACCCAGTCGGTTCTGTCCCCTAAAGGCACGAGGGGTCACACAGGTGGAACTGCTCAGGACGGGGAGGCAGAAACCAGCCCAAAACCTCCGGGCCAGACCCACCGGGATGTGCGTGGGCCGTGAGGAGGGGGAGAGGGCAAGGCTCCGGGCTCAGGGCAGTGCCCAGCTCTGCTCAGCTGCTTCCAACCAAACGTCCATCTATCGACTAACCATCTTCCTTCAGGCAACAGATGTTGAGGGGAGAGGACTTTTTATCCAAAAAGTCCTTCACTGCCAGGCGCCCAAGGGATGGAAGAGAAAAGGAGAAGGCAGATCTTTCGGCGACACTTACTAAAGTGTGGAGGCTCCCTTCGTAGCTGGGAGATAAGGCACCCTGTCCGCTCGCTCGCGACCACTGGGATGTGCCTGCGAACAAATGGGGAGAGCTTGGGACCAGGCAGGGCTGCCGCTAGATGGGGCTGGAAGCTGGGCCACGGCACTGTGCACGGGCCACCACGGCACTGCACGGGCCACCACGGCACTGCAGGGGTCACCATGGCACTGCACGGGCCACCACGGCACCGCACAGGTCACCACAGGACTGCACGGGCCACCACGGCACCATGCACCATGCACAGGCCACCACGGGACCGCATGGGCCACCACGGGACTGCACGGGCCACCACAGCACTGCACGGGCCACCATGGCACTGCACGGGCCACCATGGCACCGCACAGGCCACCACAGCACCGCACGGGCCACCATGGCACTGTGCACGGGCCACCATGGCACTGTGCACGGGCCACCATGGTACCGCATGGGCCACCATGGCACTGCACGGGCCACCATGGCACCGCATGGGCCACCATGGCACTGCACGGGCCACCACAGCACCGCACGGGTCACCACAGGACCACATGGGCCACCACGGCACCGCACGGGCCACCACGGCACCGCACGGGTCACCACAGGACCACACGGGCCACCACGGCACCGCACGCCCACCTCTGCTTTGCCTCAGCAGGAAACGGAGCTCAGGCCTTCAGACCTCGAGCAGTTTTTAAATTCACAGGATTCCAGTGAGCAGGCAGCCAGCTCACGCCGCACTCATTCTGACCCAGGGGGAGCAGCAGGCTGGTGGGTGCATGTCGCTCCGCACCCCCGGCGCTGAGGAGCCTCAGCACCAGCTCTGCTGGGCAGAAACAAGACCTTTCCCACCACAGAGGAGCAGAGCCAGGCTTTCACCAGGCGCTGAAAATGGTTTGTAACTAGCTGGCTGCTTCCCAGTTCCCACCGCGCTCCTCCCCCAGGAGTCAAAACCAGGGACAAACTCCCCCAGCCTGACCGGGTGCTCAGGGACAGGGTCTGTCTGAACGGCGGGAGCGGGTGGCAGCGGGTGGCAGCGACGCTTTAGCTCAAGCGAGTGACGGTGCTGCCGTGGGCCAGGCTCCTGCTCACGCTCCTGGGCAGGGGCAAAGCCGGGCACAGGCAGAGCCATCGCCCTCGCCACACCCGGGCGCTGCTTGGCTCCAAACAGGGGAAAAGCTACAACTGATTAAAGCAGATGGACATGCAACTTCACAGGAGACATTTAAAAAAGTGTCTTCAAGTTTGCTCATCCTTCCTCGTCGCTCTCCTGATTTTAAAAATAAACGGGATTTGGGGAGATTGCCAAAAGTGTCTTTAAGGAGGGCTTGGGGTTTTCTGGGAAGCACGGTGCCTGGGGACCTCCTGAAAGCAAACCTGACATCCCCCCTTTACACAAAGAGCAACGTTTTTTCACCTACCTGCAAGCCCCTGAGGGGAGCCGACCGGTGTAGAGGGGTTCGACGAGAAGTTATTGCTAGAGTGATCGGGGGAATAAATCTGGAGCGAGAGAAGCAGGGCACGGTCAGCAGCGCCCACCCCTGCGACGGCTCTCCCCCTCCCCAGCAGTGCCACCCAGGCCAGTTCCAGTGAGGACCCCCCTCGATGGGACCTCCCGCCCCACACCCACAGCAGGTCCCTAGCTGGAGCAGCCCACCAGTGCCCCCACAGCTCCCATTACGGCCCCTCTGTCCCCACGGCTGCCATCCCTGCAGCTACAGCCTCTGTTCTTCAGGTCCCACCTTGGAGGGAAGCGAGAGCCCCAAGAAATGATTGTAGGGTGCAGCGCAGGCACCCCTCTGCTATCAGGCAGCAGCTAAGGTCCTTGCACTGAACAGGACCGAGACAACCCCGGGCTCTGATAGCCCAGTAGCCCCAGCACCTTCCAGTCTGGAACCAGCAGACACAGGGCCAGCACTACTGGGACCTGCAAGTCCTGCTACGGTGGCTGCCTAGGGTTGTCTTGCCAGACCAGTACCAGGCCGGGCAGCCACAGAGCTGGGTCACGGTCACGGCTCAATCCGGTGCCTCGGTTTCCCCATCTGCCAAAAGGTGGTTTTGGACAGCACCGGCACTCAGGATGGCAGCACACAAAGTGGGGAAAACTCTCCCCCTCAGAGGCTGCCGTGTTTTTGGGGTGCATTCTCTCAAACTTCTCTATGTGTCCATCTTCCCTGCTGCCCAGAGGGTCCCTGTTATGGAGGGGAGGTCCAACACTGCAACAGGACAGGGACGGGGTGAAGGATCTGCAGAAGCTCTTACTGAAGCTAGTGCCTTCCCGAGCGCGTCTCCCGAGCTCCCAGCTGTGGTTCCTCTGTTACCTGCCGAGAGAGGACACGGACATCACTGCCAGGGTGGCAGAAACACGCCAGGACAAAGCACCAGCACAAGACTTTCCCTGGGATCACCTGCTCTGAGATTGAAATTTCTTGTTCTTACTGATTTGCTTGAAAATTAAATGGATGCCCAGCTCAGAGCAGCCCGGACGAGGGCACACACCCCCCGGCAGCTTTCCTGGGGCTGCAGGAACATCTTTCTAAGTTGTTGGGTCGAAGTTGTCGTGCTATCAACAGAGATCAAATGTCTCTGCTGCAGCACGGCCCATTTTCATGGGGCATCTTAAGCCCCTACAACCCTGAACTTACTTCCCCTCCTCTAAACAAGGGGTTTTCTACAAATCAAGGTCAGGATCCTCAGTTCCTGGGGAACATGAGTTCATTTCAGTAACAGGTTTTGTAACAGGTTCAGCAGGGTAAGAGATGAAAGCACTTGGGGGTTTAACGTGGGATCCAAATGCAGCACCAGCTTTCCTATTCCGGATTTGGAGGAACAGCTTCACACATACCCCCGCCTTCCCGCAACGCAGGTGCAAATCCTTCCCGCAACTCATCTAAGCCACAAGCACCTCCATGAGATAATGTCGCAGATTCTGGTCTCCTCCCAGCTTCGCCAAGCGAGGTGTAAACCCCCGAGGCAGCTCCCTGGCCCCCTGCCCAGGCATCACCCCCCCGGAGGCAGCACCCTGGCCCCCTGCCCAGGCATCCAGCAGCAACAACCTCGCCGTGCCCCCTCCTCACACAGTCACTCCAGGCAGGGGTGACACACGAAGGGTAAGAAGTGTCTGGGTACATTGGACACAGGTATCACAGCTCTGGGCACCGGAGGTTTGCGTAAGGCTGATTTCCCAGTTAAGCCTCTGCCCGGCAGCGGGGCGGCGGGGGGGCCACGCTGGGGAGCACCACGCGCCCGGGGCCGGGGGCTGGACGTACCCATCATGTTGTCCGTCCCGCTGATCGGGGGCGTGTGACTGGAGACACCGTACGGCGTGGAGGCGGAGGAAAAGCCAGACACAGAGGGGAGTCCGCCGTTAACCTCTCCTGAATGAAGCTGGTAGTTCTGGCGGAGGGGGGGGGGTGGGGGGGGGGAGAGGGGTGAGAGGTGCCCTCGAAAGGCGGCCGGGGCCAGGACCCAGGTCCTCCCCGTCACCCGCCGCCCCGAGCCCACAGCTGCGGGAGGAGGTGACGTGCCACCCCCGGCCGGCCAAGCGGAGCCCCCCCAGCCCGCCCGCGGGGACGCGTTACCATGCGTTCGTGCTGATGTAAACTGTTGAAGCCGCTGGGCTGCGGGAGCGGGGAGGAGGAGCTGCCCAGCATGGCACCGTAACTCGACTGGCTCATGGCACCCGGTGAACTCCACAGGTCTGGCGAGTTATGGAGCCCGTCTGGAAGGAAAACCAGAGCTGAGCAGGGCAGAGACGCCGGCGTGCACCCCGCAGCTCACACAGAGGCGAGTCAGCCGGGGCTGAGGGGCTGCGCCCGGCCCCATCCCATCCTACCTACGCTGAACATCGCCCACTGAGCAGAGCTGAGCCATTTCGGGGCTGCTACGTGCCTCACGCCCTCCTGCCCCGAGCTCCCTCCATCTCACACGCTGTGCCATTCCTCGCATCATCTGCAACGGGCCGGGCAGCCCCTGCTCTGGCTTGCGGGGCACTGGGGTTGTTAATAACTCACCTGCCATGTAAAAGGCTCCGGGATACACAGTGCTGGGAGGTTTTGAGGGAGTATATCCAGCTGGATCCCTGCTGTAGTCATCACCTGAGTTGGATGGATACACCTGGGGGGCAGGAAGGGGGTTGAAGAGAAGTGCTTGGCTACTCCATGGCCTCAGGTCCTCCCCGCACGGGTCTCCCCACCTGGTGCAGCTTCAGTTTTAGGGGGGGGGGGGGGGGGGGGGAACCGAAGCAGCTCAGCTTAGTCAGGGCGGCGGTACCGAGCGGCACAGGCACCGGGGCCATCGCGCAGACACGTCCCACCTCCCTTCCCGTAACAACGTGGATCCCCGCAGCCCCCTCCCTGCAGAAGACGCCGGCGCCAGCAGAAGTTTCAACTCGCTGCTCTAGTTCCCTTTTCTGCGGTTATAACTTTTTATGGGTAACCACAAAAGCCATCATCTCCGTGTGCTACCCCCGCACCCCGGGCCGGGCGGTGGTGACGGGGACCCGTGAGGTTTCGGGACGTGCTCAGGCCTGGGCCGAGCCTGCCCTACGCCGGGGGGGCAGCTCTGCGATGGCAGCAGCCGCTCCTGAGCGCGGCCACTGCCCAAACCCCTCGCAGGAATCAGCCCGTCTCACTGCAGGGGGAAACTGAGGCACGGGGGAAGCGCAGTCCCTCAGGAGGGATGTCACACGGGAGGGGACGGCTGTGGGACAGCTTTCGGCCGGATTTCTGCAGCACCATTCAGCTACACTATCAAACAGCGTATCAAGTAAAAGAAAAAGTTTTTTTCTTTCCTTCTAAACCAACCAAACCCAACCTAGAAAGCCCTTACCAAAAAATCATCTTGTGCCAGTGCAAAACCATACTTTTTTTTTTTTAAAAAAAAAAAGCACAAATTCAACACGCAAAGAAACTGAAAAGCCACTCAAAATTACATGAGAACTTTTGTTACAGCTTATTTTCATCCCCATTGATTCATTCTGAAACTGTTAATAATTTCTTTTTTTAAACACACACGAAAGCAGAGGCGGGTGCAGGGGCTGGCTGGGCACGCTCAGCCAGCTCTGCCTGGAAGACACAGCTCTCTTTGGAAAGGAAACCTGCCTGAGTTTCTCTTTCCCCACACCCAGCCAACTCTCTCCGACCCCATCCTCACCCAGCAAGAAGGGACAAAACTGTTCTCCGTTTCTGTAACTGTCCAGAACACACAAATTTCTTCCTTTTTTTTTGGGTGTGGGGGTAATACAGAATAGGGGTCTTTTTGTTAAAAAAAAAAAAAAAAGAAAGGTCTGAAAAGCACCAGCAATTGCACTTAAATATACTGTTTCATTTTCCTCTGGCAGCCCAGGTTCCTGCTTCTCAGAGCAGCTTCCCTCGAAGCCGGGGGGGTGCAGAGTCCTGGGGGCAGCCCCGGCCCCCCCGCTGCCGAGCAGCTCGTGGGCAACGGGCGGCCGGCCCCTGCGGGCAGCGGAGAGCTGGAAGGAACTTGTGGGCATCGGCGCTCCAGACTGAGGCTGCTTGGAAAAGACGGAAGATAAAAGCAGGAAAAATAAAATCAAGAGAGGGGGAAGGGAAAAACCTGACAGACACAGCCAGCTGCCCTTCGTCCCTCACTCAAAAAAGAAAATTCACGGCACTTGGCCTTTGCGTGGCATCGCAGGACAGCGCCGGGGCGACGCGGCCGCGCGTGGGCAGCGCGTGCGGCCGGGGAGAGCGGGGGAATGGAGGAGGCTGCAAAGAACAAGAATCCAGTAAATTGACTTTTCCTATAATTTGATTAAATAGCGGGAGCTGGGACGGGGAATCGAATGAAGCACGTCTAATAGCCCCGCGCCATCTGCCAGGGGCTGGCACCTGGCCAGCGTGCGAGGCAGCTGTGCGGCAGCGGAGCCGGCGCGGGGGGGGCCCGGAGCGGCGACATCCATTTAATAAATCCAGAGCGAAAATAAGAAGAATAAAATAGCAGGGATGAGCGGTTTCAGGGCTGCAAAACCAAGGGGGGGGGTTCTCTTTGTTGGGTACTCGCGCTGCTCCACCATCCCTGACACCACCACACCACCCCCCCCCATCTCCTGTTGGATCCTGGGGGGCCAGGCTTCACCCCTGGAGCGGACCCTGGCTGCTCTAAACCTTTCATTGCCACGCTCAGCGCGGGGGGGGGGGGGGGGGGGGGGGGCTGTGAAAAGCCAACTCCCCGCTTCCCCGCGCCGGCCAAGCGGGGAGCACGGCAGCCCCGCCGCGCGCGGGGGAGCCGGCCGAGCCGCCGGCCAAGCACCGCAGGAAACGGTAAATCAGCGCCAGGTCCCCGCTCCCCACCCCGCGGCCCCGGGGACCTCCAGGTGAGGTCATTTCCTCCGGTTAAAATTGCCAGCGCGGCGAGAGAGCCGCTTGAAAAGCCCCAGCGTTGGGATTCGCAGGGCTTTGCGGTGTTGGTTTTTTTTTTGGTTTTTTTTTTTTTTTTTCTTCCTCTCCCTGTTTTTCTTGCTTAAATGCATGAACTGGGGTGGGACTTCAGGCAGACTAAAGCTAAACAGAGCGGTGACCAGACTGCGAATTCGCAGGCTGAAACGGCTCCCAGCCACCACACTCGCTGCGGCAACAAAATCCTGCAGGAACCAACTTGCACAGAATCCCTCGCCGGCAGCCGACATGCAGCAGGGGCTCGGGGGGCCTCATCCAGCCCCGGGTCCTGTGCCTGGACACGCAGCCCACGAGCACTAACCCTGTGTTCCAGTTCCCCATCGCAGGGGGCTCCGTGCCCCACCGGCAGCCCCAGCATGTGCCGCTGCCCCAGCCCAGCACCTATTTCACAAGAACTAACCCCAAAAGGCTGCAGGTTACAAGCAAAGGTACCTCCGCACCACCAGGGCCGCTCAGCCCCTGCCTGGCCTCACCTTCCACATCCCTCTTCAACCATCTCATACCAGCAGTGCCTCTTGGTGCCTTTGGCAGAATCACTTCCCTTTCAGCCACCCTCAACTATTCCAGCTGCTGACCTCTCCAAGTTTTCAAGGCAGCTAGGGAATTACAGATTAAAGCACTTTATTTTAATAAGATGCTGATCGACCTATTTATTTTGCACGGGGTCCAGCGACAACATGGGGTGGGCTCCTGCACCGGTGAGTCAGACAAGAAAGAGCCTTTGATCTGCTGCCTTTGAGGCCGGCGACTCCTCTTGCTCCACGCTTCTCTCGCCGCCTCGGTGCGGATTTCTCTCTCCAGGTGTGGAAGTTCAACAACAAACCAAGAAGCCGGAGGTCGCGGCTGGAAATGCCGGCGTGCAGGTGTCAGCTCGGACACAGCGAAGGGGCTGAGTTCTGGCAAACGCCCAGCGGCTCCTCCCGGGGGAATCAGGGGCACTGCCAGCACAACGGGCAGCGAGCCCCATCACCTTTGAAATCCGAGGCCAATAAAGGACCATTTGCTGGGGGTGATGTTTTCCCCACATGGCGACTGGGGTTTAAAAGCTCTGAATTTCACACAGAACCTCACCGCCGTGATACGGATTCTGCTTCAAGCCGGCCTTCCCTGTCAAAATAGACCTGGGAGAACTCCGCACTGCTGACTGGAGCTGCCTTCTGCATGATACGGGTCTGTACAGACCTTCAGCACCCTCCGGCCTGCAAGCCCAGTCCGGCAAGCCCTACGACATCTTCCTCTCCCTCCACCCTCCCGACATCAGCACCTCAGGGTCCCCATTTCCACCGGCAGAGCCCCACGGTTGCAGCTCAAGCCTCGCGCTAGCAGCGAGGGGACACTGCGGCGCGAGATCTCCCCCACGGGGGGACACCCCTGGGCGCTCTCTGGGGAGCAGGCGCCCGCTTTGGCGCCTGCTTTTAGCAGCGAGCGGCTCGCCACGCTGCGGGGGGGGGGACACACACACACACAAGGTCACGTCTCCAGCGCAGCCCCAGCCTGAGCTCCGGCTCGCCAGCGGGACAGAGCCCGCCCGTCCCCCTGCGAGCGCGCAAACGCTCCGGCGAGGAATGCAGCCCCGGCCGCCGCGCAGCCAGACAGCTCCCAGAGTCCTGCAGGAACCCTCCAGCCCGCTCCAATTAGCTTTCCTGGAGATCCCATTACTTCTAGCCACAAAGACATTGTTCAGTTTATTCCCCTCTAACAGCCGCGGGAGCATGGCTAACAGATTCCTACAGCCTGCTCGGCTTTCTTATAAAACAGCCCGGGCAGCGCACACACCTGGAGCAGCCCCAGCTGCCTGCCCGCATTACAACTGGTTTGGTTTCCCTTCTGGAGTGAAATCCGATCACGCCGAATATCACATTTCACTCTGGCACTCGGCGCCGCAACAGCCAAACAGCCAAGAGCCAGCGAGGGCAGGAGGCGGTGGGTCCAGACCCGGCCAGGGAGGTGCCACCGCCGGCCGCTCCGCACCGGGAGCGTTGCAGCTCCTTCTCCCCACTTAGGCACCACAGCCTCACGGCGCTTCCCCATTTCTCCTACAGTGGAAGCCGTAGCTGGGAAAACCCTTCCCCGCCCTCCTGTTAAAATCCAAGCCCTCAGTGTTTGGGGCGGCTGGACCCATAGGGCCCGCGGCAAAGGGAGGAGGGATGCCCAGGGGATGGAGGAACGGGGATGGGACATCTGCAGGGAAAACGCTCCTGCCACTTACCGAGGAGGGGAGTCCAGGAGGCACCTTCCGAACCTTTTTGGGCTGTCCATCTGGTTTAAAGAAAAGAAGACAGGATCTAATTTTTGAAGGAGGGAAAACGGCTACAACTGAAAGTCTCCAAGGATGGAAGACGCAGGTACAAATAAGGCTCAGATCCCGAATATCCCCACAGCCAAAGAAGCATCAGTAGTGCAAACGTCTGAGGATGAACCGCTCCTCCTTGTCTCATTTGCACCCTTTGAGGGTGGGTCTCACAGAGCGATCCCTCCCAAAACACTGCGATAAGAGAAAGACTGAGCTTGCTCTTTGGAAGAGACCGAGCCCATAAATAACCCCTCGCTGGGGTGTTTTTTTGGGAAACAATTGAACCCCAAGTGGGTTTGTGGAGGGAAGATGCAGAAAGAGAACAAATGCAGGGATGGGGTTGTTCTTTCATTTGCTCCTTATACAGTAATATACTTGGGAAAGCTTCACTGCTGCAGGGATGGCGCTTGCCCCCGGTCGGTCCCTCCCCAGCCCATCTCACCAGGTCCAGCTCCGAGGGGGGAAGACACAGTGTCCTGGGGGGAGACAATTCAGGGAGACGGTGGGGGGAAATATCCAGAGGAGTGCTCAAGGGGAAGCACTGGTTAAAAGTTTGAGGGTTTTTTTTTCGTTCGTTATTAAGGAAAGCCCCAGCTGGGGGGGTGCAGGATGCTAACACACAAGTCTGCCAAGCCAGGGACTCTGTTGTGTTGTAGCTCAAGAGGAGAAATTCATCACACAGAATGACCCAATGCAAACAAATCATTTTCCAGGCCGACAACATAAACCAGTAACATTTTAAAGTGGCAATACTGAAGTGGATGCCTTTTTCTGAAAAGCACTGGAAAAAAATACACTTAACACTGGTTCGCTTCTGGTTTCGTTTGTTGGGGAAAGCCCAAAATAGCAGCAAGAAAGTGACTTTGGAGGGTGCGGGGAGAACTATGACAAGAAACACAAGTTCTGGAGAACTGGGGCTTATCTTCACTCGAAAGTTAAATTCACACCCAACTTCAGGCTTTGTTAAAAGCAAAATGGCTTATTCCCAGGTAGATGCAGGCGTGGGCAACTCCTGCTCCGGAACATCGAAGCAGGCAGGTGGGCAGGGAGAGGTCCTGGAGCAAACACCACCCGGGTCCCAGGGCGCAGCTCCCGTGCCCTGGCCGCCTGGCTATGTTCTTAACAACTTCTACCGGGCAGTCCCGTTTCCTTGCAGCAGGACAGGGGCTCCAAGGGGGGCCACTGGCCATAAAGTCAGCCTCGAAGGCAGCCGAAGGTCTTCCAGGAATGACTATTAAGTGCAGCGTGGCTGGAGGCATTTTTAGAAGAACCTCAAGCCATTTGCTGCTTTCTGACATGTACGACCTAATCCGACATTTTCCACAAAGAAGGAAATTCTACATGACGCTGACCCCAAACCCTCTTTTCAAAAAATTACGTGTGTGTGTGTGTATATATTTCCCCCCTCCCCAGAAAAGCAAATGCCCATTCATGCCTATGTGCACACATGGCCACATCAGTGCTTCCATTCCCGAAGGCCGACCCGACGTGGGCACCTGCCCAGCCAACAGCCCCTGTGGTTGCCTGACCCAGCTGCAGCGTAAACGGGTGCGGTGGCACCCGAGGGTGACACAAAGCCACTTACCTATGTTGCTCTCAGCACCTCTCCTGCGAGGATTGTTGGGGTAAGAAAAGTACTGAGACCCCCCTTTCACTCCGGTGGGGGAAAGCGTGCTCGGACTCGCAATTCCCATTTCACTGGGCAGGAAACCAGTCTGCAAACAAGGAGACAGAAAAGCCGTTCCGTGTGATTACGGTGGAAAACCACCACGTTCGCTGGGAGAGAACAGAGCTGCCTTGAGCCACCTTCACACAAATTCAGTCAAAGGGAAAAAAAAAAAAAAAAGACTAGCCAAAGGGCCAGAAGGAAAAACAAATATGTAAATATGGGGGTAGTGGTGGGGGAATATCTGTGCAATAAAAATAGAGCCTTTCAAGCTGTGTTTCCTCACTGGACCCCGGCAAGGAACCTCTCTACAAACCAAGGATGCAAACTAGCAGGTGCCATCGCGGGGCGCACCACGGTCCCACGAGGGCAGGATGAGACCCCGCCGCCCGTTTTATCGCCCAGCCTGCTGAAGACAAAGAGGCAGGAACTGTCGGGCTGAGCGCCTTGCTGTGCAGCACACCCCCCGCCTGCCTCACGGACTCACTCGGGACAAAACTCTTCCCTCGCCGCCTCCGAGGTTTTACGCAAAGGATTAGAGTTTCCGATGCGATCGGCGCTTCGATGCCCGCGGGGGCCACGCCTGACGGGCGCGGCGGGCCCCCCCCCCATCCTCAGGAGGCCCAACGGAACGGCCCCACGCTGCCCCTCGCCCCCCCCCCTTGATGCCGTCGGGGTCCCGGCCAGGGCAGAGGACAGACACAGCGCTCACCCGCCAGCAAACCCAGGGGGGGCTCTAAGGCTGTCACACCTCTCAGCTGTGCCCCCAAACCGACCCCAAGAGGCAGGAGAGGTGCCAGAGGTGCCAGAGCCGGCGGCGCGTCTGCCTGTGCCTCCCCCCGGGACCCCCCCCAGCCGTCACGGCCAGCCCAGGCTGCCGGCACTGCCGGGTCCCCCCGTCCCCAGCACCGCGCAGCTGGACCCGTCGTGGGCGATGCAACAGAGCTGCAACGCCTCTGCGGGGGGGGGGGGGGAGAAGGTGGGAAGGTGGGGGGTGGTTTTCTCTTGTATTTTATCAGGGAAAAGCCAATCCTTCTTTCTAAAAAGAGGAAACTCCTCCCTCTTGTTTATCCCAGCTGACCTTGGGCACTCTGGGAAACAGCGCGAAGCCGGAGCCCCCGGGGCGCTCGCTGGCTCCCGGGATGGAGCAAGAGTGCCTCTGCTGCGGGAGCACGCCCCAGCACTGCCCCTTTCACCTCGGGAGAAAGCTAAATGTGTGTAAGTGGAATTTAAGAGGGCTGGCAAAGGGCCTCTGAGTAACAAAAGCTTAGCTGTGACCCATCTTCCGAGGGCAACATGTTGAAATAAAGGAGGATTTCAGCTTTTTGAGAAACTGGAAAGAAAAACTCATGGCTTTAAAACTCCATCTCCTCCAGAAAGGGGTTGGGGAGGGAAAGAGGAGCTTGTGTATTCACAGCTGGTGAAATTCCTGCAATCTGTTCCACCGGTCATATTACCTTTGCATTGAAACCGCTACGCACCACGGAGCAGCGCGGCCAACAAAAGCAAGCGGCACAGCACCCTGGAGGAGATCCTGGAGGGCCGGGTCGCTGCTGCCCAGCTCCTCCAGCAGGTACCTCCAGAAAGGCACTGGGATTTTAAGGCAATTTCCCAGAGAAATGGATTTTGTTGCCCTTCCCTCTCCTGGGGATGCCTCTGGAGATGGTTAAGGGTTAAATGAGGGGGGAGCCGCAGCTCTGCCCTGGAGGAGGGCGCTCCCCATCCAGGGCATCTGCCACTGGATGATTTTCCAGCACTTTTCAAAATGAAAGAAAAAAAAAAACCAAAACAAAACAGGTTAACACCCCCCAGCCCCCCAAACTGGAGCCAGAAGCAACAACTGTTCTGGGGGCCACAGCAAGCGTGCAGACAGCCCCGCTCGCCTTCCGCCGCCCCGCACAAGAGGGGTTTTGTCTCCCCTCCACATCAAACGGGCTCCGTCTCCCGCTCTGCCACCCGATCCGGACCCGCATGCCCGCGCCAGGGCCTCTCCCGGCCCGCGGCACCATTTGCCCACCCCCTTTCTGTTACCTTATATCTCCCCCTCCTCCATGAAACCCCAGCAAAACCATAACATTAAAAAGCGAGGCTTGGCATCTGTCCCATTTTTATTTTAGCAGCTTCAGTGGTAAATTAAATCCACTCTGGCACAGACAGCCAGCACAGCTGTTTCAGCAAAGGAAACATCCTCAGTTCAGAGAAGAGGAAATTATGACAAATTTGTGTAAAATTAAAACATGTAATATGTGTGTGTGTACATGTATAAAATAAAAAGCTGTCCGGCCAAAAGCTACTCCCTTGAATAAAATGGTGGGACTGTTTCCTCGGGGCCACGCTCGGGCACTGACGGGGCAGTTGCAGCAACACATCAAAGCGGAGTTGCTCGCTCCTTCCTGAAAAACCACTTCTGGATGGCTGGTGGCAGCAGGCTAGATTATCTCAGGGCTGGCTGACAGCGTTCCCGGGCTCTGATTTACGCCTGTGGTATTCCCCACGGGAAGCAAGTTTTTCCCCGCGGCACAGCCCTGGCCCTCCTGCTGGGGGTCACACGGGGTGACCCAACAGGGCAAGGTTGTTGCTGCAAGAGGCAGCTCTGCCCTGCCCTGTCCTGCCCCAGCTGTGGAGATGAGCATCAGTTGCAGGTCCCGTTGCAGAACCACCGTAAGACCAGAACGCTGCCCGATATCCACTGACACGATGCTACAACAGCACAGAAACCATCTCGTGGACTCTCCCACCCCTTAGCTGGTGAGTGGGGGGACTGGGGGATGCTGGCTGGGGTGCTGGGAGGCAAAGCGAGAGCCCCGGGGCAGGCAGGCGGAGGGAGAAGGCGCCTCCCCGGAGCGCTGCTCTGCCCGCAGCCACCCCGTCACAAGGAAAGGTGTTGCTTGGATCCAACTCACTGAAAGCCCCTGCGAGGGCAGTGCGGCTAGGTCATAGCTGATTAAATACAAATCAGCTAGAAACAGGATTAACAAAATGAGCGAGCCTGAAGAGGTTTTGAAAAGAACTGAGAGGCTGCTGCAACCCCATTTTCTAAACTCTGACAACTCTTCTGAGCCAGCAACACACGCCTGTATAAACCACTGACACTCAACAGACTTTTCTGAGCAGAGCAGAGACTTTCCAGGACCTCGTGCAGAGAGGTGAGACGCAAACCACCAGGTTGCTTTTCATTCCCAGGCTCTCACTCCCAGCAGCTTAACCGGTAAATGAAGAAAAAAATCTCAACGCATTTTACTGTTACCTGGTTTAGTCCTGGCATCCCTGTGTCTCTTCCGAATGTGGAGTAGGAGGCTCTTTCACTGCTCTTCCCTACAGCGGAGAAAAGACAAGACAAGATTTTGTGTAAGAGGAAAGGGGAGGTTTTGTGTGCACCCCCACGCACCGCCCTCCCAGGCGTCCTGCCGAGGTGCGAAGCCCGCTCTCTGAACGCAGCTTCCTCCACCCGTCTGCAGAGGTGACTGCCTCCCCTAATAGCTTGTTGCTAAAACAGGAGCTCTTTAAGTTCACGGACAGCAGGCCTTGGCTGGTCCATAAACAGCAAAACCCCAAAACTGCAGCGATGCAGGGAAGTGCTTGTGGCCATGGAAACTGGCAGTGTCAGACCAGAGCCAAAAAAAAAAAATCCCTCCAGACATATTAAAAAAAGCCAGCTGAATTTGGCAGAGGCAGTGACAGAGCAAACTGAAAGCCAGGCATGAGTGACCAGGGGCACTTTCCATACAATAGGAAATACAATTTCAGCACACGCTGAGCAGCAGTGTGTGGAGCTGAGCTCCTCATGGCGCAGGGATTACCTTCTTCCCCTTTCCTGGTGGAGACTCAACTTGCCAAAAACCCCCATCCAGATCTAAAGAGCAATAGAAATAGCGTTTCCTTCCTCTCCAGGCCCCCCCCCCCGTTAGTTCCCAGCGGGCAGGCTCCTCCCGGACCGCGGGGCTCCTCGCAGCGGGGGCATCGCTGCCACCCGGGACGCTGCGCCGGAGCAGCCCCCTGCCAGCCGAGCCCACGTGCCCCAGCGCTGCCGACTGAACTTCAGCACCCAGCCACGGCTTTTACCAACCACGCTCAACCTCACCCTGCCCACACGCTGCTGGAAATAGTGTTTTCAAGTGGAGGGGGGGGGGAAAAAAAAAAAAAAAAAAAAAAAAAAAAAAAAAAGAAAGAAACCCAACACATGGTGAAATGTTTCCATTCTGAAATGTCCTTGCAGCCCTCCCTTGCGGTCGCCACCCCGGAGCACACCACAGCCCCCAGCAAGCAGCACCTTTGGGTGCCAGGGCATCGTCGCAGCCCAGGGGAAGGACCCCAGGCCAAGGAGAAAGGGAAGAGTTCTCCACCGTGCCCAGCGCAGCCAGAAGCACAACAGTCTGCTTTGGGGTTTCCTTCCCACCCAAAGCAAAATTATACACTCTTCTGATGGGGAACAGGCACTTTTTCATAACCAAAAAAAAAAAAAACTGGACTGAAAATATATGAGGAATTTTTCCCTGCTGTTAATTACAGCCTATGAACGGTGCCACACCAGAAAAAGGGGAGAAAAGAGAGATGATGATCAAAAAGGCTTTCAACCCAGGGCAGAATGGCCCCGCTCTGGTGCAGGGGCCTCGGCCCGAAACGCGGCTGGGAGGCGTTGGGCTCTGCCAGCCCCCTCTGCCCCTGCCCCCCCCGCTAAGCCAAAGCCTTTCCCCAAAAAGGGGCAACCGCATCCTGCCTCTGGTCTGGCTTACTAAGCAAAATTGGGAGGGGAAGGAATTTGCCAATCTGCTTAACCTAAAACCATCACTGAAGCCTGCTCGGATGCAGGTTAATGCGCTGGGGTGGTGTCTGGGCTAGCAGGCAGCTCCACGCACCGTTAAGAGGTTTTGGGGAGCAGATGGAGTGGAGCGGGATGACAACAAATTTCCTGAAACCAGTCCCTCCGAAGCACAGGGCAGAAGAGAGAGGAGGCTGCTCAGTTTTGCAACCTTAGCACGGGGGCCTGAACTCCACCCCAAATTTCAGAGCAGGTTCCCCCACTACAACCCCCAAAGTCGACACCCCCCCCCCCCCCCTTCCTGATGGTGCCGGGGGTCACGGTGCAGCATGACAGCACCCTGCCACCCTCGCCTCCAGCAATGGCTGGCCGCATCCAGCATCCCTGTCGTTTCATTTCAGAGGTTTAAACGTTAAGTAAACAAAGGTCAAAACGTCAGGGGACGGATCTCCTAAATGACCTGATTTTTAAAAGAGCTTAGCAGCTCTCTTTGCCACAGTGCTGGCAACGCAACACAAATAACAGGTTGTGGCATCGGGTGGATCGCAATTACTCCCAAACCAGAGGAAAACCAGGGCAATGCCCACTCCACCTCTCCTGTCTGCTAACACACTGCTGCTTCCACGCGCGGCTCGAGCGGCGAAGCGCCGAGCCAGGTGCCGCTGCCGTCACCAGATAACCTTGGGTGGCTGAGCCCCGGGGCTCTCGGCACACGCGGGAAGAGGAAGGACCCCAATCCAGTGCCAGCTCGGCCGCGTCACCCCACAACCCGCTGCCTTCTCCTGACGGTGCTTCGGGCCTCGCTCGGTTCCCGTGGGACAGCAAGCGTGCCCGGCACCAGCACCGTGCCGCGCTCGGGTCAGCGGGCATCCCGTGGGATGGGGGCAATTAGGAGAGGGAGAGCAGCCCCCAGCCAGCCCATCCTTTGTCACAGAAAGATGAAAAAGCAGCAAAAACGTCAGCAGTGGGAATTTTACATCTAATTGTCTAGGAAAACAAGGCAGAACAGGGAACTTTTCTGGACCGGAATGCATCTAGCCTATTGAAATAAAAAAAAAGGTCGCAAGCTGGGCCAGAAAAAGCTGAACTTGCCAGCAGAAGGTGCTGTTTCTGCTGCCAGGGAGATGCCAGCCTGCGCAGGCGGCAAACCCAGCTGGGCCAGGACTCGTTCCAGTTGCCCCTTTGAAGCCACAGCCCAGAGGCATCAACCAGAAAAGGTGGCAAAACCCCAGGACCACGGCAAGGACTGGGACAGAGGCAGATCTCGGCAGAAAACACCTGGCATTCCCCAAACACCATCTCGCTCCCAACCAAATGACTGAAATCCTGCAGACGGGTGTTAAAGGATCTTGGGGGCGGAGGGAACCTAAAACAAAAAACCTCAGAAGGTAGTGGGAATAAATCCTCTGAATGGGAAAGGCATTTCCCTTGGAAATCCTATCTGTTGGATTTACCTCTGCAATTTCTAGCATGTAAAGGGGAAGTGCGGTGGAGGGCACCTTCAGCAAGGTGCAGCCAGAAACTGGCTGGGAGCATTTGGTACTTCCAGCTCTTTATGGCATTGCTTTGCTGCGAGTCTTGGCATCCCCCTCCTGCCTTTTCCACCCCCGCCAGCTCCCTTCCCTGCCTCTCGCCTGCTCACGCTGCCTCCAACCCTGCTTAATAAGCGATTTCCCAATCTCTCTCCCTCCCAGCATGTTCTCTCTGCAGGAGCTGGCTGTGCCGGGCTCAGATGAAGCCTCCCCCAGGCCTGCCTTCACCCAGGGCTTTTGCAGCGAATCCCCCATGCAACGTTTATGCTCTCCCTTCCCAAAGGCAGGTTTGCTGCCGGGCTCAGAGACAAGGTGGCAGAATAAAAAACCCTTTTCTGAGGTTGCCGCCAGCTCCAGCAGCGGTAAGGTCTGGCCTCCGTGCCCAGGACCATGGCAGCATCTCACCTCCACCAGAGCAAACCACGCTTTGAAGTAAACTTGTGGGTTTGCCATTTCTTTCCCCAAGACAAGCCCCACTCACAGATGTGTACAATAAGCCAAAAAAAGGCGATTCAACGCGGCCTACGGGTTTTGCCAGCACCTGCCGGGAGGAAGGCTGGTGCTTTGCCGAGGGCTGTGCCCCACGCTCCTGCCAGCCCACGGGGAGTTCACACCGGTGCCCCCCACATCACCCCCTCCCCGCACCCTGAAACAGAGCCCCGGTGCAGCCCCTGGCACCCACCGCCCCGGCCAGGGCACAGCCCCCCACGCCGTGCTGCCCCGCGGCCCCGCGCCAGTAATGCCATTAGAGATACAGCCTGGGGAGAAAGGAGGGGGGGGGAAACATAACTGGGGATTAAAAGGGGAGAAAAAAAAAAAAAAAAAAAATTAAAAAACCAGAAGCAGTGACAAACCCAGTCTGTGGGCGGATTAAAACCATTGTCCAGGAAGAACCCAATCCACAACAGCTCACAATACACACAAAATTAGAAACACTCCTCTGAAAAGAAGCTAATTACTAGAAAGAATTGCTAGAAAGGAATCTGTTGTGGTTTATCAGTTTCCCCTCTGTTTAAGCAATCCCCCCTGCCTGCCCCCAATGAAGATGCACGCGTAAAAGCGGCAGATTTTGAAGACTGGTGATGTAAGACAAACAGAAAAGCCCTCACCCTCTGGGACGAGCCAGTTCATCACGGCGCTGTGTCCTGGCACCACCCCGGGCAGCCAGGGACCGTCCCTGTCACCTCTCCCCACCCAAAGCCGGGATGCTGAGACCTTGCCAGGACGTCACCCACCCTCTGGGGAGCAGCACCAAGGGCTCAAAAGTTGAAAACCTGGATGAGGGAGTGATGGAACTCACAGGCATTGCTACTGCACCCTGCCCATCGGGTTCAGCAACCCCTGCCTGGCAGCCTGGGGTGGTTTTTATTCAGAGCACTTGGTGGTATTTCCATTCACGTATTTGCTTACTTTTTGTTTTGTTTGTTTTAAATTTAGGTTATCCTGTCCGGTGCAATACAGGCCAGAGCTCCCCACCCAGTTACTCTTGCAGACATCTCTGGTTTTCCCCGCCACTTGTGGGGTTGAAGCTGCGGCGGCGAGGGAACCTGGGCTTTGGAAAGCATCCGACTGAAGATCACCCATGCACTGTCCCCTTCAAAAAGTGCATGAGCAGCGTCACCCACAGCTCTCCGGGAGCCCGAGGGCAGGGGAAGGCCAGTTCTGGGAGCAGCACCTGCAGGACCCGCTGTCAGTGCAGCCCTCCTCCTGCTCTACGCTCCAGGTGCCTCCCAAAGCCAAGCTCCCACCTTGCCGGATGTCACACGTTCCTCTAAAGAACATCCATAAGCCCCAAACACCACATCGGTGTGTCGCAGCTGAATAGAAACCAATACTTTTCCTTTCAAAGCATGCCACGTGAATTCAAACCCATTTTGGACTAGGCGGGCACCCTGTGATCTGCAGGGCCACCATCCCGAGTGGGTTGGACCGGGGCTACTGGTGGGTGACCAGAGAGGCAACCGTCCCTCCGGCCGCCCGCGCCGGTGCCTCCCGCCGCCGGCACGCTGTCCTTCTGGGATTCAATCCTTCCAGCACTTTGCACCAGATCTTCGTGTTCCCCCAGCTCCTTCCCAGGAGCGGAGCCACACTCCCTTCCCGCTTTATCTGAGAGGGGGACAAGGGCACGGGCTGGGGCGATGGCACAAGCGACCTGCGTGGACAGACAGGCAGGAACAAGAGGCAGGGATGCAGCCTTGCAGGGGTTTTGAGGATGTGCTGGCTGCGTCCTGCTCCCCCCCCCCAACTCAGACCCACTCTCCTTCTCTCCTGGGCCATGCAAATCCCTCCAGCCCTGCCTTTCTCATGGAGTTTTTCCGCTCTGGCGCTGCTCTCGATTTTCCACCCCCCCCCCCCCCAGCAAATACACCTGAAGCCAATGTCCTGCGCTGCTTCCGTGCGTGACCACCGCCGCTCGCGAGCCAGACGACCCACCTGCAGCCAGAGCTTCCCTGGCCAGCCCTGCGAAGCCAGCTCCCAGCGCAGGGACGTGTCGGGAAGAAATTTGGATGAACAGGCTTGCACGTTCCACTGCTCCTTTATCCAAACGGTCACTGCACCCGGCGGTTCCCAAATCCCTCTCCTCGCACCCCTGCTCATGTCTGATCAGCGCGTGAGTGGTGAAGCAGCTCATGCGGAAGGGGAGCGCCCAGCTGCCCCCCTGCTCCTCCTCCTCCTGCGCACCACAGCCCCAAACCACCGTCAGCCTCCAAGGGCTGGCGAAGTCTCCACCCTCAAAAGGACGCGACCACTGTTTCAAAGCACAGGCTGGCAGGAGTTCCCCGGCCCGCCGAAGGCTGGTTTGAGTGGGGCCTCCTTTCCATTTGCCACATACATGTGGAAATTAGAGCCAAAAAAAAAAAAAAAAAAAAATCACAGTTTATCTCCATTTCTCCAACAAGTGCTGCCTGGCCAGAAGCGTCCCTTCCACGCGGGAAGGGTGCTAATGCGCTTTGTTAGAGGAGGGCTGGCTGCAGCCTGCCTCTGGGGCGCTGCGCTGCCTCGAGAAACGCAAAAGCTGGAGGGAGGACAGGGGTTCCCCGAGGAGGCCAGCACCACCCCGGCCGAGCGGCAGCCAGCAGAGGCCAGCGCTCAGAGCCCGTGCCGACAGGGGAGGCCAACATGCACGTTTTCTTTTTGGGGCCCTTCATCTCAGCCTTCCTCTCTAGCTGGCCAAGTCCGTAATTTCCAACACAGATCATGTTCATCCTGGAATGTTTCTTCCAGCAGTTGCTGACCCTCCTTGAAGAAACAGAGGTCAAGTGGGAAAGAGATACAAATTCTGATTTTGGAGAAGGGCTTAGATGATAGCCTCATGCATCTTTTGTCTGCCCAGTACCACTGGACATGTCCATCCTAACTCTCCTCCTTCCCTCTCCTCCAATTTAAAAATTCACAAGTGACACAAGCTTGCCCAGCCCACTGCCCCTGAGGGGGACCTTGCTGGAAACCAGGGACTGGCAGCTGACATCTCCAAAACTCACCTTTCCCTCCTGCTTTGCCACTGCTTTTACACTACTGTATGCAAAAGCAGTATTTTTTTTTTTTCTGCTCTCCTTTTTCTCCCTTCCACTTCTCATTTTGCCACTTGAAAGGTTTTCAGAAGCAGCTTAGTAAAGAGGAAGACAAAATCTCACCCATGGTCTTCCTTCGGCCCATCCTTCTCAGCACACAAGCACAGAGGCAAAGCAAAACCTATTTATATATTTTGGAACCAGCTCCAGGAATTGGTGTTTTCTACTTCAGCCACGTTCAATGCTAGGAACAAAAGTGACTTTGAAATGTGAGGAGCCCCTGCCCCTCCTGGCTGCTCTCTCCTGGCCCCCCAGCTCTTGTTTTGGTGGTGGAGCTCCTGGTGCTGCATCCAACTGCCCAGGGCAGCGGCTGAGACCTTGCGCCAGCACCTGGGCCTCGGGCACGGTGCGTGGCCACCGTCCTGGGGGCCCCGAGCCCGCGGCTCGCCCCCCACGGCAGAGACAGCCGGTGGAAATCACCCGCCGGGGCGGCAGAGGCTCCACGTGCTGGGGACCGGTCGGGCTCGCAGCCTTGCCGGGGAGTGCCAGGGCGCTTGCCAAAGACCGGGAGCCCCGTCTTTGAGAGGAAGCCAAACACGTCTTCCCTGCACACATCAAAGGGGAAACCTCCGTGTTCCTCCTCGGGCAGCTCCTTCTCGGCTGGAAACTCTCAAGGCTGCCTTGGCCCCAGGCGTGGGACGGGTTAGGATGGGTCCCCCCCACGCACACACCCCCCCCCCATAAACCCTGCTGAACTGCATCAAGGCTCCCCTGACTTATTAAGAAACATCTCTTCTGCTTTGCTTACATCCTCCTGGGGCAGAAAATGAGAAGGAATAACCGCCCTTGCAGAGGGGCAGGGGGGAGCTGCTCAGAAATGCTCCTCCACGCCTGTGTGGGGCCCCCCAAGGGGCAATTAAACATCGTGTGTCTCCCGCCCCGACAGCAAGAGAAGCAAAAGAGGGGAGCGGAGCTGAGAGTGAGCCCCTCACCCCAGACACAAGCCAGGAGAAGAAACGCATGGCTGCTTGCTTCCCAGCACGACCCTGCTCCTCTCTTCCCCTTTCTGGCCAACTCTGCAGGAGGAACCTCCAATCGTGGTGGGGATTTTCTGTTTCAAACCCAATTCTCTCTAATCCCATCCTTCAAACTACAAGCAAACACTGCTAGCTGTGAGGCCCTGCCCTGACACTGCTCCTTCCACACTTGCTGGAGGGTTTTAACCATCACTGCGTGGGCAAAGGTGAGGAGGACTAACCCCAATTCCTGACCTAATGCCACTAGAGCTCTCTAAGCCCTTCAGGATGGGTATTTTCTGCTCTTAATCTCTCCTCCCACCCCCGAGCTGGGAGAGGTAACTGGGTAAATCGTCGTGCACGATCACAGCCGGTGGGGCTGGGGCCGCACAGCACCCGCCGGTCCCTGCGAGCTCCTCGTGCTGCCCAGATGCAGCGGGGATGGAGGAGCCGGACGGGGCTGCCGGAGCCTTGCGGGACACGAGAAGAGGGTCCTCCAAACCCCACCGCAGCGAGGGGAGCACCTCCAGCTCTCTGCAGAAACTGCACCGCCCCGGGGCTGCGAGCCTGGAAAGCAAAGCAGCCACGAGCCTGTTGCAAGACCTTAACGATGAGCCGCGTCTCTTCTCCCCCTCTCTCCCGGTGCTTTTCCACCCTTGATTCCCAGCTCCCAAGAGCAAACAGCCCCATCCCGTGCCAGCACGGACGGCACCAATCTCTGCTCTTGCCCCTGGGTGCTAGGGTAAAGCAGGAAAAATAATCACACAGAGAAAATACGATGGCTGTCATGCACGTCGGGCACTGATGAGACCCTCTGGACAGCAGCTCCTTTAACCACAGCTTCGTGAACACCTTCTGGAGCAGGTCCAGTGAGGGGAACGACGACACCAAGCAGTGCAAACGCTCCCACCACCACGTCCCATTCTGCCTTAGATTTCCCCGGCTTGGCCCGCACACCCACCAGGCAGCTGAAAGGCGCTTACCCACTAGTCCAGCTCCCAGGAATGGTGATGAAGATACGCTGCTGTGAGACGGCAGGTCCCTGTGCTCGCCGTAGTGGGGGCCTTCACCATAGCTCTGCTGAAGGAACACGGTGGGAGTTACTGCCAGGCGTGTGGGGGATGTTGAGCCAAACGCCAAAACGCAAGGCTTCAGAGCTCAGTCTCCCCCACAGCAGGAAGGGTCAAAGTCAAAGGCTCCTTGTAAAAAGGGCGCAGAAATGATCTTATCCTCACGTCAGGGGAGAGCAGGGCAGCGCAGCCGCAAGACCGCGGCACTGGAAAGGGATAATACGGCACCAAAGCCGGGGCGGACGGGGGGGGTTGCCCCATGCTGGCAGCTCCCAGGCAGTTTGTGCCTTCACCCGGCGGCTCAGCACCCACCAGGTGAGAGCCGGGCAGCCCCCTCCCCGACTCAGGGGCTGAAGGGGCGAGGAGGAGGCCTATAAAAATGAGAAATGACGCCACAGCGCCTGCTCTGCCACTGACCCAAGGGAAGGGAAAGGAGCCATTGCAAAAACGAATCACACAAACCCATTAAAACGTGAGCATCTGTCAAAACCACTCCATTTCAATTCAGTTACTGTCTTTTCTCGCTCCCCCTCCTCAGGCCCCAGATACGAGCTCTTGCAGCCTCGACTCCTGTGCTCTCCATCCCCGCCGAGGGCCCCCAAAGCCCCAGTTGGACCCCCGGGCTCCCCAGGCCGTGCGTGGTGGGCGCCCAGCAAGCTCTGCCAAAGGCACAGCCCATCAGGCGAGATCCCTCGACCCTCTCGGCTGTGACCCCATTTAGGGACCTCTCCCACCCCACGGCCAGGAGCCCCCCCCCCCCCTCTCCCCACGCCAAAGCCCAGCGCGGGGAGCCCACGTGGGGTGTGGGCCTGGGGGAGGATTTGGGAAGTGAAGGGGGGACCGCAAGGTAACAAAGCCTGGAAGATGGGGGCGGGGGGCCCCTCTCCCCACCCCACTGTCACCCCTGCAGGGTTAGCAGAACCAATGTCCTAAATGGGGCAAGAAAAGCTGTTCCAGGTTAGACCCAACCTGGCCACAAACACGTGTGCTGAGAAGCCACGGTAAAGCCCCCATTTATTTTGGTTGGAGCTCGGTGTTTGTGCTTTGTCCTTACCCTTCCTTGGTCAAATGTGGAGCTGTTTTGATCTCCCGTTCCCCAGGAACCTGATCCCGGTCTTTCATCCAAACCTACCGAAAAACAGGAAGAACAAAGGTTACTCTTGCTTTATCAGCAAAGCCTCAAAGGTGTTCTCGCAAAATTAACTCTTCCTTCTACAAACAAAACAATATTTTCATTAATAAACCACTTCCACTTGGCGTGACCGATCTTCCCCTCTCCCTCCTCACCTTCCTACTCCAGCTGGGAGTTTATTCCACAAACTTCAAAGCAAATCCCACCACAGCCTGGAAATGCTTCAAAACACAGGACAGTGGGAAGAGGAGGAACAAGTATTTTAACTCGCTTTATTCCAGAGAACACGCATGAACCTCTTCTCCCTGAAGACCGATGGTGAAGAGAACTAGGAAATAAAAACTCATTGCATCCATCCCGATGCTCCAGTTGGACCCAATTTTTGTTCGTGGTGCTGCTAGGTCACAAGACAAACTGCTCTTCATTGCACCCAAGCAGATTAAAAGAGTGGCCAGACCTGGAAGAGCCTCAGATGGGAATTGCTGGGCGTGCAATGTTACCTGTGGCTCAGTCATGGTTGTTCTAGGGCATCTGTTATTTAAGTCCCCTCGTGCTCCTGCAGAGGCAGGTGTGCTGTCCGCATGGCTGACCAGAGCACGCTCCCACCCATCTCTGCTTTAGCCCTCCCAGTTGTATCCCTGGCAAAGGGGATCTGACCCAAAACAGCAAGGGACCCAACAGGATGGTTTTGCAGCGTGGCTGCACACAGACTGCGGTAGGAAATTGTCTCCTTTCGTCACCTGCCAGGTCCACCCAGGCCGCGCTGTGGGCCACCAGCACGAGGCACCCAGGGGAGACGGTGAACTTCCACCGGGACCAAAAAAAAAGCCCAGGGAGTCACATCAGCAAAGCTCTCGCAGTTCAAGCTGGTACCACGACTGCACGGAAGAAAGCTCTCCTAGAAGATGAGCCTCGCCTGGCCTCAGCAGCAGCATTCCCACCCGTGCTGGTCTGTCTCCTCTGCTCCGGCGGGGGAGCAGCAGTTGGCATCTCCCCATTCGAAGGCTCGTGGGGGTGAAGCCAGGGATCGAGAGGGAGCCGGGCGGGGTGGGGGGCTTGGGAGGTGCCACGCCGATACTGCGACCTCGGCTGGGGAGGAACCCCAGATCTGCAGGAGGCCGAGCAGCGCGGATGGCATCGCCCCTCTGCCTCGTCCCACGGAAACCCCAGTCCCACCGTGGCAGCTGTACGGCCACGCTCGCCACGGGGCAGCACAAGAAACCTCTCGTAGTGGCTCCCAGCAGCATCCAGCACCACCCTGTGCCACCCCCAGCGCCAGGGGGGCTCTCTGGGCACCGCCTGCCCCCCTTGCACCCGCTCGTCCAACACCAGCGAAGTGCCAACAGCCGAGGTGCCGGCAGGGCCTTACAGGAGATTTTCTTTCAGGAGCAGAGAACCCGCTCGCGGCAGCGGTGCCGGCGGAGGCGCAGGACGGTGGCGGGGACAGGGCTGCTCGCGGGGGCAAGGACGTGGCGGGGGAGCAGGGTTCTAGGGCTCACTCCAATTTCATTTTAGCAAAGCTGATTATTATGGCAAACACGCCGTGTATTTGTCTCCTCCGCTCCCCTTACTGTTCATTTAACCAGAAACTTCTTTCAAATTACATCCTTCTATTTCTGTGCCTTTGTGTTAATCATTTCCCCAGAGAATTGGTGTTTAATTGCTGTCTAATTTGCATAATTATGCATATTAATCTCCACACCTAATGAATATTCATAATTCTCATTTAGATTTTGTTTTCTAATCAAAAATTTCCAATGTGATTACTGTGCAGAGCAGGGATAAGCCTCTAATAATACCTTGGATACTAGGGAGAATTACTGCCAATTCTCCCACCTCCTACTTCCTAGAATAAACTTTTGCTTTGCTAATGTGTTTTTCTAAAGTAATTCATCTGCATACCCTGCAAACACCAACGGAGATCAGGAGGCAGAAATGCTCCTTCTATTCATTTTGCTTTCACGGGTATTTTTCAAGCTCCCCAACGGTCAGGGCGAAGACATGAGCAGGACCTGCAGCCTCCGACATCCTTGGCGAACTCACCCCTCCGTGCTGGAAGGACGAGGATGGCGGCACCAACCAGGCTTTGGCCGCGGCCGGTGTCCCCACGAGGCGCCCGGGGAGCCCCAGAGCCTGAGGGGAAGCTGAGACACGGGGGGGTCCCGATCCCCACACCCATCCCTGCACCACACAGGGTGGGAATTTGTGGGTGCTGAATCACCCTGCCCTCTCGCAGAACCACCCGGTCCCGTCTCTAACCCACCCGGCACCAGAGGAGCATCCCCAGGGCAGGCTGCACCAGGAGAGGATGCTCCGAGGGGCAGGCTGCAGGGGGGGCTCTGGAGGGAGTTTGGGTGCCTGGAAGCCCAGGATTAACTTTTTTGCCAAAATAAAATAAAAATCACTGCCAGGCCTCCCCAAGGAAGGAGGGCGGAGGAGACAGCGGGTGGTACAGGTGACAAAAGCTGAGGCCAAGAGGCTCAAGGGTCCCCTAGACGTGGAGAAACCCTCCGCATGAGCTACTTCCCCGCTGCGGTGCCGCCAGCGCTCCCCAAAGAGGAGGCAAAACCACCCCGGGCGCGCCGACGGCACGCACGCACCGTGGCAGGCTGGGGGGGACGAGCTGATCTCCCGGAGCGTGTGAGAGCCCCGCGTACCCCTCTTTCCCCCTCACTGCCCTGGGGGGGATGAGCCCCAACACCCTCCCCACACCAGCCAAGTGGGAGCCGGGAGGGAAACCCTGACCTCCTCCCATCAGCTCTGCAGCACGCAACTGGGCTGCAGGCGCAGCAGCCGCCAGATCCTGCAGCAGCAACCCCAACCCCCGGGGAAACCCAAAAAGGCCTTTTTTTCCCCCTCCAGGCGCTGACGTTCACATGGTCGTGTGGCTGCCAAGGTGGGGAGGTTATCACTCTCCCACCCGAGCAGCTCTGGACGCGGCCCCGAAGGCTCAGCTGCCTCTGAACGTGCTCGGGCCAGCGCACCGCTGCGGGCCAGCCCGCTGCCCAGGGTCTGCTGGAAAAAGAGGTCTCACGCCTTCCCTGTGCTGCAGCCACCGGCATGAAAGGTGCCGGCAAAAACCGCCCATTTTCAGCCCGCAGGTGTTTTAAAGAATTCAGGGATTTCTGGGATGAAGCCAGGAAAAAACAGACTGCCTGCTTTCGACTTCTGGCGCCTGTCCTACACTCAGTGCCAACCTGCTCTTCCTTCCCTTTGTATCCAAGGATCGAAACTTTGGCAGTAAACGCCCTCTGCCAACCCTGTGAAAACACAAAAGTTTGGCCAAAGGCAGGTGCTTCCGGAAAAGCGCCCGGCAGCAGGGTTTTGCTCCACTCACACTACAAAATCCCAGAAGGCGGTGCCACCACCAAACGCCATCCCACTTCCCCAGCCCGCGGTGCTCACCGGTGCTGCCCTCGAGCTCAGCCCTCCCACGGGCACCGCTGGCACCGAGCAGCCGGGCTTGACCCAGCTGGAGGAAGGGGAAGGGGAACGAGCAGAAGACGGGGAAGCCTGGGGGGGAGAGGGACAGGGCTCAGGCAGCCCCATGCCGGCATCCCCACGTGCTCGCCCCGGGGGTGCTCAAGCATCCCACCCGGACCCTTTTGTCCCAGCAGCTCGGGGAGGCGAAGGCAGGAGCCCAGGGCACGGGCAGAAGCGCCTCGGGCGAGGTGCTCCCTGCCTACGGGCACTGCCCCTGTGCTGCCGGGCTCTCCCGGTGAGATGGAGATCCCGCCGGCACTTCCCTCGCCCCCCAAATCTGCCTCACCCCTGGGCACTGATTTCTTGCGTTAAAACACACACGGTCCCGGGCAAAAAAAAAAATCATAAATCCAAGTCACCAACCGAGATCGTGTCAAAACTCACGTGACAGGCAGCTGAATTGTGTTTGCACAAGTGAGCTTAATTCTGGCATATCCCAGCTCCTGAGTGCTTGGCTTTGCAACATTTACAACCCTCTTCCAGCACAGGGCGGGTGTGCAGTTTTAGAGACGCCCGTGCGTGCACGCAGCTGTCAGGAGCCAACTTTATTTTAAAATAAACCTATTTTCCAACTAACCAAGTTAAGGCACACTTTCCAATTCAGAAAAGACAAAAATAGGAACTACCTCCTCTCTCCATTAATATAGTTATTAAAAAGCATACAGATTAATTGTACATTTTAATAACCCTGATCATGAATATTCATAACACATTTCTTGCTCATGTTCTAATTAAAACATACTAATAGAATAAGATGTAGCTGTCAGACAGTAATTTTTTTTTTTTCCCCTTACAATTTTTGTGCCTCAGCTAAGAAGAGCTGATAGACAAGAACAGTCCTAAGCTCTCAGCATGGATAAAAATAATTTGTCCACCTTTAGTCTCAGCAAAAAAGCCCTTCACCCGATAACGAGTCACGGCAAAAGGATACACACAAGTGACTGGTGACACAGGGCACCGGGAGCTGTTCCCCCCAAGGAGGAACAAAACCACTTTAAACACACAACTCTTAAGCAAGAGAAGGCATCAGGGAGGGCGTAGTGTTTTCTGCCCCATCCCCACACCCAACAGCCGCTCACAGTCCCTCCTGCTCAGTTCCCGCTTCCAGCCCTCACCCACGGGGTCCCCACGGCACCAAGGCAGACGTGTGGCCTCTGCGCCCAAGCCAAGGTCTTTTCAAAACAACCTCGATCCCTAACGATTCCCTCGTGAGCAGAGCTCAAGGGGCGGGCAGCCGTCTCCCTGGACCCAGAGGACACGCAGGGATGCAGAGCAGAACGTTTTGCTCTCGAGACCTCTCAGACACTGTTTGCGCAGCAAGATCCAGAGGTTTTGTTCTTAAATCCTGCACCAAGGGATGCCTGGAGGAGAACGCGCGCTGCCGCAAAGCTGCAGTCCGGCAGGCTGAAATGACTCAAAGGTGCCGAGTCTACAGTGTCAGGAGGAGGACGCCGCAAGGGGACCGTCACGGCAGCCCCACGGGTGACAGTGGGGGACGCTGCCGGGGATGCTG